CTACATTCTTCAAAAATAAGGTAAAGAATTTTCAATTTAAAGTATTAATTTGTAGAGATTTGAAAATTTTATATGCTTACGGATCGTTGTCCGGTCCGGTTTCGACAACACTGATATATACAATACCCATAGGGTTTTCCGCATATTACCAATACGCCACCGAATTTTTGTTATGTTACGAAATTACCCCGCTTCGTCTGTCTCAAAATGATAGACAGTGAAAATTGTTCAAATCGAGTTTCGGACTCTGGATTAATTAATTAGCATAGTTAACTAGGTAGGCTACGAAACAATTTTTAACCAAATAGATATCAAAATGGGTTTTTTGTTTTACTATTCTTAATACAAAATTTTAAATGCAGAAAAATCTCTAAGTTGGGTTAATTCCTTCTCTTCCCTACAACGTCAAATATTTTTTCCTTACTAAAAGTCTTATTTTTTATCTTACGGGACAAGTCATTAAGGTCATTTTCTAAAGCCTTCAAGTTGCTATCTCAAAACAGGAAAACTACTTGAAAATGGCCAAGTCTGGAAACGTGATTGTGAAACCAACTTTGATGCTCAATTTGAGAAGCATGGATGAGAGTCGAGTGCATATGCTTCTACCACATGAAAGTAGGTATGTTTGTCTACAAAGTCAAGGCATTGGATGAAGAAATGGATATCTGAAAAGCTTCGAACGAAGGGCTCAAAGATCGTACAAAATCACAAAAATCTGCCTTGTAAAAACATCATTTGTTTTCCTTGTTCAATTAGGATTTCGTGTTTTTGGTAGTTTCTGGTTCTTTTTCGATTAGTAATGTAATTATACTTCCTTATTAGTTGGATAAACGTAGCTAGACCTATTTCAGCTATCTTTTTGTTGTAAAACTGATAGATTGATCAATTGAACTGAAACTTCGGTTTTGTGCAAGTTTGAGTACTTGTGAGGGTTTGTTGGATTTCAAACTTGTTGAGCTTTGTATCGATTGAATATTCACTTTGATCATGGTCGAGCAACTACCCTTTATACCAATTGAGCTTTCCCCATGTGTGAAATTGTCCATTTGGTTCCCTTTTATAAAAAAAGTATCAAGAACGCTTGTTTTTTGTTAGAGTTCAATCCAATCCTTGGATTTATAGTTTGCTGCGACAATGTGATCAAAACAACCCCCTAGGCTAAATCAAATTGTCATCGGTGCAATGAGATAATGTCCTCTAAACCGAGATTTTCGTGAGCCAAAAAGCCTATTTGGTGAAAAATCGACATTTTGTATAGACCTTTTTCTCCCAAATTCCAACACCAAGGGTTCCTCTCTGTCACACCATTCCAACGGTACCTTCGTCCCCATCAATGGCCATCCGTGCAATGAGATAATGGCATCTAAACTGAGATTTTCGTGAGCCCACGAGCCTGTTTGGTGAAAAAATAACTTTTTATAGACATTTTTTGTCGCAAATTCCGACCATGACGTTCCTCTCGGTCACACGATTCCATTGCTGCCTTCGCTCCCCTCAAAGGCCATCCGTGCAATGAGATAATGTCCTCTAAACATAACTTTTCGTGAGCCCACAAGCCTAATTGGTGAAAACCCGAAATTTTTTAGAGACCTTTTTCTTGAAAATTCCAACTCCATGGATTTCCTCTCAGTCGCACGATTCCATTGGTACCTTCGTCCCCCTCAAAGGCCATCCGAGCAATGAGATGATGCCCTATAAACCGAACTTTTCGTGAGCCCACAAGCCTATTTGGTGAAAAACAGACATTTCAACTTCCTGGCATTCCTCTCAGTCACACGATTCCATTGGCACCTTCGTCCCCCTCAAAGGCCATCAGTGATAATGATCTCTAAACCGAACTTTTTCGTGAGCCCACAAGCCTAATTGTTGAAAAAATGAGAGGCGGAACTGGGTGAAGGGTCAGGGTTGTTCGACGACGGTGGAGGCGAGAGGGGAGAAAATGAGTGTGGTTTGAAGTAGACGAGTGGGGTTAGGTTTCGTTTGGTCCCTTCTCATATACCTTACAAATTTGGCAAGCAATTAATATAATCATGTCCATCAAAATCTACTAAGAGTATAAGTCCATTGCTTATTTATCCACCAACATATTTGATACTTAAATAACTCCTCCACCCAACAGCCATACTCGTTGGACGGGAGGAATTGAATGAGAGAGAGAGAGAGAGGGAGGGGAGTAGGGCTGGGCATGCGGGCGGATCATCCGCAGGTTTGGGCCGACCCACCCGCATTTGACCCGAATTTCATTAAGTGGGTGGGTCTGTGGGTGGGTGACGGGTTGCGCTGAGAGCCATCCGCCGGGTGGTGGGTGGGTTGTGGGTGAGTGTGCGGGTGACCCGCTCAACTCAACAGCAAAAAGATCAAAGTCGTTGGCGCTAGAGAGAGGAGAGTGGAGACGTTAGATATAAACTCGGACTGCTCCTGGAGTTTGAACCTCAAAGCCAACCTTCCAAATAGAGATCCCCTCTTCTTCCCTTTACTTTTTCCTCTAATTCTTGTGCCTAGATCACCGCTCTTTCCTTTGTGGAATTATTTTCCTTAGTTCCTTGGACCTATTAATCGTCTCAATCTGTAGAAAAGTCCTTCATAATAGAATTTCTATCCAATTTAAGAACTAATTCGACATTTTTCGCCCTATTTCAACTTCTTGTTTCCCTCGATGATTCTCTTCACCTATTATCATGTCAAGTTGAATCCTTTATATTATATACATTGTGATGTGGGTGAACCCACAAACCCACCCGCATCATCCACCATCCGCCCGACCCAACCCGAGACTAAATGTGGGTGGGTGGTGGGTTAAAAATTATCAATCCGTTTAAGCGCGGGTGGGTGCATTTTATGGTCAAAATCCACCCGACCCACCCAATGTCCACCCCTAGAGGGGAGAGAGTTGTGCGGCGCATTAGCTTTTAGGAAAATCTGGGTCAGGGCTTCTAGTTAGACGGTATAGAATAAGCCCTTATGGAATGGCTAAAGTTAATCTGCTAACTTGAAAATTCGTTAGCAGATACTAACTGATATCCAAAATACACGAACTAGTATCCAAGTACTAAAGTATCTAGAGAGCACAGACTAGTATTCAAAATTTACTAACTGATATCCACCATGAATCAACTATTATCCCAAATTTACAAACTAATATCTAGACAACACATAATAGTATCCATACAACACATAATTAGTATCCAGATAACACATAAGAGTATCCAAATAACACATAAAAGTATCCATATTGAATACGAGTTGGTTGATTGTGGATATTAGTTGGTATCTGCTATTTGGATACTAGTTTGTGATGTTTTGAATACTACTCTGTGCTATCAAGATACTCAGCAGACTTGAATATTAGTCATACATTTTGGATATTAGTTAGTATATACTAACGAATTTTCAAGTTAGCAGAATAACTAGGTTGTTAAGGAATTGGGCTTGGGTATTAGTGTGGCCTGTGGGTTGTGGGTAGCTGTAGGGTTTTATGACTTTTTCAATAGAAGTTGTCGGGTTAATTTGAAAATATAATATGGTACTTATAAATATATTACATTTCAGTTATCAATTTATCAAATTGCTACAATATATGCATATAATTACATTTCAGTTTTTTCAATGAGTTGTTAGTTGCAAGAAATAAGATTAGAGATTTACCCAAATGCCATATTGTATGTCAACGGACCAGGAATTTTAGAATTATTCCAGCAAGAAATTATCATGTTGAGGATTTCTTTTCATGTAGGACCTTAAATAAGTAGTTTCACTCGCTCCCTCTCTGCATTTGGCTCTATTCATAGTTGGACGGAGTTTTCTTTCCGTGTTAGGAGTGGTCGTTTGATTTTCTGCAGAATGATGGATATGATGATGATGAGTTACTCTTGAAAGATATTTTTAATACGTAGCTAAGTGGAGTTTACATTTTATCAACCACTGTAGATGCGTTATGTGATCAAATTCCTAGTTCCTCCGCAGAAGCAAATCTTTCCTACTTGCTTCTACTTTGTTCATAGGCACGAATGAGTTGATCATCTTCTTGAGATTCTTTTGATGTTATATATCCCTTTCTACATGGGCCCTATTCATGTTTTTCACGTGTCCTGGTCATGTCATTAATGTTGTAAGCACTATTCATGTCTCCTCGAAGCGGTGAAATGTGAGTAGTTTATCAGTGATTGTTGAATCTGTCATTTACGCATGAATAACGTGCTTTCTAACAGTACCGTTACTATTGAGAGATGCTTTTATCTGAAGGTCTACAGATCACGGATTGAGCCCTAGACTAGTTTCCACCGATATTAAAGTCTATTGATCATATTTTTCACCGATGATTTAGTCCATTAAGCACTAAATTGGGCCAATTTGTTTTGGGATGACATTTTCGTAAATTTTTGGACTTTGTTTTTCGATAGGCCATTTTTCTTGGATTTTGAAGGCTAAAGATCACGTATTCTTCCCGAGTCTATTCTTCAACGATGATTAAGTCTATAAGCACCGATTTGGGAGGATTTCTTCCGATTTCATTTTTGGTAGATTCCAAAGGGATATCATCACATATTTATGATGATTCTTCCGAAATGTCATTTTCTTTTTATTTTGAAATCTACAGATCACAAATTTCGCCCGAGGATATCATTCCCCTCCAAAATCCCGCTTAAACCGAAGCTGGCCCACAAAGCCACCTCCTTCGGTTCTTCTTTAGCTCACACGCTGGGCCGGCTTCCATGAAAAAGTCCATTACCGGCTCATTTGAGTGAGCCACCACAAGCCCGCAACCCTCCTCACTTTGATCACATTTAGGTTGGCCTGTGCCGACTGCCGTGTTAGTATCTTCCAAGTGCTAACCGATCTAGCAGATTAACTTTTTCGCCTAAACTCAGCTCCTTCCCAGTTCCCACCAAGGTTCATTCCTTTCCCGATTAAACCGACAATCCAGAAGGCCATTATGCTCCGTTTAAGCTTTCGTATCTTCAATGCTCGCCAATAACCGGTGAGTAGTTCTTATTGCTCACATGTTTTCATTGACAAGGGGGGAAGTTCCCGGTTTCCTCCATGCCTGTCGTAAAGCATTCAGCTTGCAGCAGAATTTCAGCTTAGTGAACGTCAAATTGAAATGGGTTAAAGATAGTGTTCTGGACAGGGTCGTTTCTGGCCACGGAGATCTGAAAGCTGTCTGCTTTCTCGTTTCCATAATCTCGTCTGCTCCCAACCATTCCCTCCCGGTCTACTCCCTCATCAAGCATCGCGGCCAATTAGGATTCCCTCTCGATCTCAAGCTCTCAACTTTCCTTAGGAGATACCCAACAATATTCCATGAACACCATATTCTCGACAGTGGTGGAACACGGGTACCTTCCTTCCAATTGACTCCTGAGGCATTGGATCTCCACCAGGAGGAGCTGAATGCAATGGATCAAAATAGAAACGATCTCATAGAGAGGCTTTGCAGGCTTCTCATGCTCACCAAGGACAGGTCTCTACCTTTCCAGACCATTGACCAGCTGAAATGGGACTTGGGATTGCCTTACCATTACCATGATTCCTTAGCATTGCACCATCCCGATAAGTTCTGTTTGATTCGCTTCCCTGATGATCGTCTAGGGTTGAAGCTCCGAATATGGGATGATCAACTCGCTGTTTCGCAGTTGCAGAGGAAGGCTCCCCAAAAAGAGCTAGAACATGGTTGCTTAAAGTTTCCAGTTGGGTTCACCAGAGGATTCGGGTTAAAAAGAAAGAGCATGGTTTGGTTAGAAGAGTGGCAGAAGCTTCCTTATACTTCGCCTTATGTTGATCCATCGTGTTTGGATGTGAGGACAGATGTGTCGGAGAAGAGGATTGTGGGAGTGTTTCATGAGCTGCTTCATCTGACATTGGAGAAGATGACCGAGAGGAAGAATGTCAGCAATCTAAGGACATCATTGCGTTTGCCTCAGAAGTTTACCAAGGTGTTCGAGCGCCATCCTGGCGTGTTTTACATATCGAAGAAGTGCGATACTCAGACTGTTGTTCTCAGAGAAGGATATGATCGTGGAGAGCTCCAGGAGAAGCATCCTCTTGTTTATGTCAGGGTGAAGTACGCAAGGTTGATGAAGAGAGGATTTCTGGAGAGAAGTATGGGGTTGCATAAGAAAAGTGAAGAGACTGTAGAGGAAGAAGGGATTATCAATAATCATCAGAGATTATATGGGTGAGTAGCATACACAGATGAAACTAGCACCTGCCAAATTCTGTTGATTACAGCTAGCCAGCTACTGTTGCTATTAGCGAAGGGGTTAAGCTTACATGATAACTAAAGTAAGGTATACTGAGGCGTTTCCAGTTCTTTCATAATGAGGGCTTGGAAATTCCTGGATTAGGAGAAGATGTTGCTGTGCAATTCAATTAAGCTTCCAGTCTGTGGAGAAAGAGGAATTGAGTTCCCTTGACTACTGATATCTTAAAATAATAGGCGCTGCCAGTTCTTTCATAATAAGGGCTAGGAAGTTCCTGGATTAGGATATCAGATGTTGCTGTGTAGTTGAGTTAAGCTTCCAATCTGTGAAAGTGGGAATTGAGTTCCCTTTTTTTTTCTTCCGGTTAATGAATTGAGTTCCCTTGACTGCTGCAATATCATAGTTTCATTTGACAGAAGTGCAGTCCAGGCCTTTTATATTGTGTAAACACAATCAATAAAAGAGAAGTTTCAGATCATGTTCCATTTTGATACATCTTCTCCCTCCCTCTCATTTGCTGTGTTACAAAGTTGAAGCAGGATTAGGATGAGCAGAAATTCAGCTATCTCGAATCAACATTCGAGTCAGATTTGACTGGCTACACAGATAAATAGACTGAGTTGCACTCATATAAATCAAATCAAATACATTTTCGGCCGGATTTTCATCGTCCTGGTCAACACATAATTCACCATCTGGTCTTAATTTATAGAAGCCCTTCTGCTTGAATGAGCATGATAACAGTTTTTACTATCACTCCAAAAAATCTGGTGTTGTTCCAATCTATTCCACATAGTAACAAAAAAATCCCACGCAACTGCAAAGCTTTCTAAATTTCTATGCCTTTGTCCTTACAAAGCATTACATAATGAACCCAAAAACAAAGAAAGAAAGAACTGCATCTCATTTGTTCATCAGAGCATAAAATGCTTCCCATTCAATACAAGACCCCGGTCATTAAAATACGAATGAAATTTTGCTTCTCTCTATCAGTGAACCTCTGCGCCAAAGAAGAAACCAGAACGAAAAATCTCGCGGTTCCTACTTTTCTCTTCTCCATCAAAATGCAACTTGAAGATCATGTATCATCGACTTGTGAGTGAAACACAAAACTTGGAAACGTTGTTGTGATGTCCCTATTAGAGAGAAACGATAGGAGTTGGTTAGTCGACCAGTTGTGTATACACAAAAAGCTGGAAATTTGAAAAGTTAAAGCTCACTTGAGATATTGAAGAGTCATGTTCTTCAAAAGTGAAGGATGTCGCAAGACAAGACTTCTCCATTCTTCCTTGTCAATCTTACCATCGTGCTTGGTATCGGCCTCCTCAAAGGTCTAAAATACAAAACATGCATCAGCAACCATACTGGATCCCGAGTTTCTGAGTAGTATATGCAACAAAAGGAACATGACATATTGATAACACATGCGAACAATTTAGCAGCATTCAAATAGATTAATTATATAAGAGTAGTGGTACCTTGTCAATGATGCTTTCAATCACATCATCCGACAAATTCATACCGGATTCAGCAAGTGTGGCCACTACCATTTGCTTAACCTGCACAAATTAATCCTGGCAATCATCAAAGGGATTTCTAAGGCATTGATGTTGTAATGAAGGAAGTTGGAAACTTTCAGGCCATTCACATGCAATAATCATTGGTTAACAAGAAAAAGGGCATAATTGACGAAATTTTGAAGTGTTGTAATCTTGATAAATTTGGAGCTAGATGACATCCAGTTTTTCAAGCGATTGACCATTAATAATGAAGAGAAATTAACTCAATCTAATGGAACTGCTTCAAATCAAATTTTGCTGTATCTTGAAGTTTCATTATGAGGTTTCTTCCAGCCAAAAGATTGATTGAGTGTTAGCGTTTCATACCTCCTGCCTCTCAATGAAGCCTTGCTGTTTGAGATCGTACAATTGGAATGAAACTGCAGAAGATAACAAGTGTGGCATCTTTAGATACATCAAAGTATTATAACGAGGCAAAATATTTTTTGGAGAATTCAAAAGATCAATGAACCAGAACATCACAGGTGGGTTGCAGGCACAAAAGGGGCGTGTGTGAAAGAAAAACCATGTAACTTACATGAAGCATGAATCTAGTCACTTACATTCAATCTTATCATCAATAGGTGCATTGGGGTGAAAGACTGACAAGGCATGTGCAAACTCTTCAAAACCAAGCACACCATTATGTTTCGAGTCAAACAAATCAAATACCTTCAAAAGATTCAGATATGAACAAAAGAGTTATACTTCGGTGAGAAAAGTTCAACATCACACAAGAGAAAGGAAAGGACATCAACAGTGGACAGAACAAGAAGTGATAGTCTGTAGGTTATATGAAAAGAAGAATACCCGGTCCGCAAATAAGCTCTCTTTCTTATTCGTTTTAAATAAGGCCAATTGAAATTCTTCCTGCAGCAAAAATGTTCATAATAGTGAGTGATTGCTGTATTCAACGAGCAATAAATGTTTAAAGGCCTAACAACTAATTCTCCATTATGAGTAATTTTGCTTACCTTGTTGATCAAACCATCGTCTATCACCGCGCTACTGATCTTCTTAAAAAGTTCGTAAAGTGCTTCTATTTCGCTAACACTAACTGCATTCACCAAAAGCACACCATCTCGTTCAATGGCCTAGAATTCAGCCACAGTGAGCAATAACATTTACTAGACACAATTTTCACAGACGACCAGAAATTCTACCTAGCCTCTCTGCCCATAAGATTGATAAATTTACGAAGAAAGAAGAGTTAGTTAGTTAGACATACAAACTGTTTCTCTTGCAAGAGCCTCTGGATCTTGCAGCCCTCTGAGTTGCTTATACAAATCAGCATCACAACAATTCGCAATTGCCGCACACAAATGCTTCAATCCGTCTAGGAACTGCTCCATGTTCGTCCCCAAATATCAGCACAATCCATACCTGTCACAAAATTTGAGTTCCACAGACATCATTCGTTCATAATTGAGCCAAACAAACGATCAACTGGAAATCTCAGTACGCGATGGATCGAATCTCAGCTAAAAACCAAAATCACAGCGTTCGAGACTAACAATTCATCCAATTCAATTTAAACCTAACGAAGTAGCCTACGATCATCCACCGGGGGAAAGACACAAACTTTTTGATCCAGAAGAACACAACCCGCCAAAATCACACAAACCCACAAGGGATCAGAGACTATTGAGAGGACCCGTCTAAGAGAAACGGCGCAACACCGAGCATAAGAGAGAGTAAAGGGCACACCTTTGAGCAGAAGCAGAGATAAGAAGGGAAGGGGGAGAGTTGAGAGTCTGAGACATCTGCGGTTTCTCGGTGTCTCAATGGATCGAGAGGGGAAGAGAAGGTTTTGGGGCAGATGTACGGCAGGGGGAAGAGATAAAATAAAATAAGCGAAAGGGGGAAAAAGAAAAGGAGATTTGTAACTTGTAAGTTGTGTTTTGTTATTCCTCCATTGACGTATGAGCAACTGAGCAAGTAAATGATTGGGACTGAGATTGTTTTATTGGGATTATTTTCCTTAGAATAATTGAATAAAGGGGGAAAGAAGGTAAAAGGTAACGTAGATGCAAGGTTGTCAACCCGCGGGTTGACCCGGACCCTGTCGAGTTAGTGGGTCAAGGGTTAATGGGTCAACCGTTTTAGGCTGATTTAACCCGGAAATATGGAAAAAGTCATTATATTGTACTTATCCTCATAAATTATATCAAATCGTATCTAACATATGAGTTATAACCTATAATATTACACCAAAATAACATATCGTATATAGATCCAACATATAGTGAAAACACACACTTATATAACATAAATATTCAAATGTTCAACTTAGCATTCCAAAAATTGAGATAGGCGAAAAGAAAAATCGGAAAATAGGCGCATTTCGCAAACAAAACAAAAAAACGACACAATTTGACCTCCAACTCGGTACCTTGTAACGATCGGCCCGTTTTTCTCACCGGGTCGGGTCAAAGTGGGTCGACCCGCGGATCAACCCGCGGGTTGACAACCTTGCGTAGATGCAAAGAGCAGTAAAGAAAACTGCAGAGGGCAGAAAGTGCTTTGCTCTGTTAGAGAGTGGTATAAGATCCAACATAATCTTCTCCCAACAACTCGAGTTATTGGGACTGACTGGTTTATGACATGGTATCAGAGCCTAGAACCGAAAGGTCATGTGTTCGAATCTCCACGACCCCCAATATTAACAGTTGTCTTTCAAGCACATGGTATGGTGGGCCTGTGCAAACTTCAAGCCCGTGGGTTGGCTTTCGTTTGAGGGGGCGTGTTAGAGAGTGGTATAAGATCCAACATAACCTTCTCCCAACAACTCGAGTTATTGGGACTGACTGGTTTATGACATGCTCTTGGTCTTAAATAAAACAGTGCAGCCGCTATCTATAGAATTTTATTAAATGATGGTTTTCCTTGAAATTGTTTGTTCTTCTGTCCAATTATTTTATCTTTAAAATTGGCTTTGGTTTGTTTATTTAGAAATTGTATTTGTTTGAGTTGTTGGATCTATTTGTATTCCTTATAGAAAAGAGAATAATCAATGCAATTATGTGATTATAACACTAATTAAATCGACTTATTAATTGGTTGATGTTAAAATTGTAATACGGCTGTGATGTATTAATATAAAAGTACTAGAAAATCATATCATATGCTCAATTATGAACCCATCAATGAATTCACGCAATGGTATCACCCTTATAAAAAGAGTAGTTAAGATCAGGCTCAGTTGGTTGTACTCTCTGCTTGGACTGAGAACTTGAGAAGAGTGGTTGCACTTGCACTGCACATCATGGAGTTCCACAAAATTGAAGACACACACTGCACACATGGGTGTTGAAAGTAAATACTTGTTGAAGTTGAGAGGATTGGGTGAAAGTTGCCTAATCTTAGACCCACATGAGAATTGAAGGGCTATCATATGATATCATATCATATCAGGCAGCCAAGAGTCTTATTTCCTTGAAACCTTTCATGATTTGAACAAGAATGACAATTTAGCAGGCCCAGATCCAATGCAAATATTCCATGATTCCATTTTAGAGCTTTGGATATTCCGACTTCAGTCCAAGCCCAAATACGAACCCAAAAGCCCAAACGATTTGACGCGGGTACCATACCAAAACCAAACCTTCTTATCCTCAACATTCTGAGGACACTACAGACACCACAGCTGCTCTCTCTCTGCTCTTGGTCTGGCATCCATCGCCGCCGGCCGCGCGAAGATGTGGCTCCTGTCATCGGCCGTCGCGCCCGGAAGCTCAAGCTTCCGATTCCCAAAGGTACTTCCTTCCATTCTCTCTATCTCTTTCCGGGGTAATTCACGGTGGTTGATTTGAATTGAATAGTTATGGCTTACGTACGCTGATTCCGTAGGCAGAAATGGAAGGGGATAGTAATATACTGATCACCAGCTTTGCTCCTCCGGTAGTCGCTGCAATCCTCGCTTTATCTCCCCTCGCGCCCGTTTCCCCCGGTATCCTCCTGCCCCGCTCCAGATTCTCCGTCGTCTTCATTCGCCTTCGTATTTAATTAATTGCGGTTGGTTGGTTGTAGTGTCGGCAGCAGCAATGAGTGGTGCGGAAATACAGAGAGGGGCCACGTTGTTCCGACGGAGTTGCATCGGGTGTCACGACGGCGGCGGGAACATCATTAAATCGGTGAGCGAGTGCAGTCAAAATTGCAGCAATGAGTTATGCGTTAACTTTAACTACGTAACGTGGGTAACGCTTTGCAAATGTCTAGGGCGCATCACTCTTCGCGAACGACCTGCAAAGGTAAAAAGAAGAAGGGGTGGAGGTTGAGTTGAATAAGCAAAGGGCATCATCTGTTCTGCTGTTTGTTGGCTTTCGAATGGTTTTGCAGAAATGGAGTAGAAACTGAAGACGCCATCTACCAAATTACCTACTTCGGCAAAGCAAGAATGCCGGTACTGCCTCTCGCCCACTAACCTGAACCTCTCCTAATTGCACATGATCTGATCTCACGCTTTGTACTTGGGTTGTGCTGCGATTTGGTTCCGTTGCAGGGATTTGGGGAGACTTGCAGTCCAAGAGGTCAGTGCACGTTTGGACCACGGCTGAAGGATGAAGAGATCAAGATGTTGGCAGAGTTCGTCAAGGCACAGGCTGATCAAGGCTGGGCTAACAACATCCCTCTAACCGACGACGATTGAGTTCGTCGTATCCGTTAAATTGTGTACTAAGTGATGATTAAGCAGATAGCAAATTGGTCATGGTATTATTATTACAGTCTCTATTAGAAACAACTAGTTTGAATATTATTGATCAATCCGATCAAAAGGCCTCATCATATAAAAAGGAACTCTACATTTTCTTTTACTGCCCAACATGAATAACTCTTTTCCCCCTCTTCACTTTTTACACAAACGAAAGAACAGAAACTACCAACTATGAAATTAGTTTGGCGCTCAAAATGAACAACTACTTCTGCTACCTTACCTATCTATCCCTACCTTTATCCCTTCCATGGGTTGATGATCCACTTCTGCTCCCCATTATTTTCTTCCTGTCCAACTTGCTTCCTTCTTTCCCTTTCTCTACCTCTTCTTCTATTTCCCCTCTCACCAAGATATTTCTCTCATCTTCCACCTTCCCCTTCCTACTATCTGGTCTTTTCACCCTCTCGTGCTTATTACTCCTTATGCTACTGCTCTCTGGTGTTGAACTCTTCAATTGTAGCTTACTACTCAAATCTTCAGCAGCAGCAGCCATTGCTGGTGGTGCCGGCTGCTTCCCGTTAAAGGAAAGTTCCTGAGACAACATTCTGCTGTTCGAACCACCACCACCACCACCACCACCTTTGATCTCCTGCTCAAAGAAGAGAACTTGAACGACAGTTCTTAGTGGCAGCCTCTCGTTCTTGACAGCGTGGGCTCGAACTTCTGGTGACAGTTTCTGACAGTCTAACGTCCTGCAGAGTCTCTTCCTATCTGCCTTGCTCAAATCAGGATGCTCCTGATTAACCATTGATTGAAAGTAATCGGGAAGTTAGAAACTTATAAGATCAGAAAGTTTTTGTTCATAAGCATATATCAGCACTTTTTGAAATATGCTAATAAGGATGAAGATTCGATATGATTCAGACATAAGTCATTCGGGTTGACCAATATTTTTTTTGCATTGTTTCTTCCACATAGCTAAATGCTAGTGTATGTTGCATAATGTGAGACATATGGCATACCTTCAAATAGTTGTTGATGGCCTTGTAAAGCTCGTCGTGGTTTCTTCTTGCAACATCCGGTAGAGCTTCAGCAAGAGAAACAAACTTTGACACGGGCATGTCAGGATCTTTGGCCACCACTTGAAGGTAAGAATGAATGAGCTTTCCGATCCTCCGAATTGATGCCACAACCTGACTCTCTTCCACAGAAGCTTCCTGCGACACACGTCTCCAAACCACCAAGAAACTCTCAAGCACAGCTGCAACTGAGTCAATATCATAAACCTGCTGACCCAAATGTGAAGGGAACAATATGTCACTCAAAGTTGCCTCCTCAAGTTGCACGCTTGATCTCCTTATGAGCTCTGCCTTCGTAGCAGGAGACGTGGCCAGGTAATTTGCAGTGTTAAGAAGTCTGAGAAGAAAGCCAATGGATACCGAGCCCCTGTCCACAGGGATCATGCTCACGATGGTTTCAAGGACTCTTCTCTGACTTTCCTTGTCTGACACTACTTCTCCGGGCTCCGAGCTTTCCGAGGGGCGAATTTTTGTGGTGTCTGGAAGCCAACGAGAGGCGTACACATGTAATGCTTCTCCAATGAGCTGAGGTGGCAGCAGGTACGTTGATTTCAGGGCTGTGATGATGCATCTGAAGAGGTCTATGTCGAGGTCTGATATGTCTTCTGTCCACCAATCTTTTGGGACGGAATGCTCGTGCTTGTTGAACCCTGGTCTTGTGTAAGTATATGACCATCTGACCTGCAATGTTTTGGTCACCAAATAGCAGTAAGCCAATAGGGCAAAAGTTATTGAAGGTGTTATGGCTGTATGGTCACTAAAACAATAAGAAGAAAGGGAGATGATGGGATGGAAACCTGCCAGAACCAACCTTAGCAGGAGGCGTGAGGATTTTATCAACAATGGAGTCGATGCATCTCCTGATGATCCCCAGATTCTCAGACCATTCATTCAGCTTCACCGTAGTCTGGAGAGCTGTGATAGAGTCCTTCCAACCTTCAAGGATACACGAGTTGAAGAAAGCCTCGAGCTTAAGCACAAAACTGCCTTGATCAACCGATTCTGTCATCCGAAGGAACTTAGCAGCACAGAATGCCGGCACAAAGTTGTGGGCACTGAGACTGATCGTTATTCCATAGCAGTACTTGGCACAAAGCTCGAATGCTTCTTCCCCTCCAGGAATGTCGTGGAGCTCCATTGTGACAGTGGTGGATTCAGGAGTATCAGAATAGAGCCTTTGTAAGAGCCCACATCTTGGAAGGAGTGCAAACTGCAGCTAAGAACAGCAAAATCAGTTGTGAGTATAGGGATACCAAAATCTAGAAGATAGCATTGTGATTTTTTTTATCAATTCGTACCTTGTGGAGCAAATAAGTAACGCCGTTGATTCTGATTTCAAGGTCACTGGGGATCTCTGATGCCAAGGACCTGCATTTCGATAGCAAATTCAATTTATCTGAGTAGATATAGGCATATAGCATTGCAGTCAGATTCACTTAACATAAGAATTTCCTGATTCTGATGCTCTTTTGGAAGATTCAGTAAGGCAGTAATGTATACCTTGTTGCCTCTTCTGTATAAAAGGTATCTGGCCGGGTTCCAAGTTTCATAAACTTCATTTTCTCTTGGGAGTCTTCTTTTCCTAGAATCAATTAAGAGGGCATGCCAGCCAGCAATATGCTTTAAGAAAATTAACCACCTTTACTGTGACTTTCCTCCCCACAATCTTAAAGAAAGAAAGGCAGAGAAGATTAGGACGAGAAAAGTGAGTTTGGGAAGGGACAGCTTGGCATTTAGCGGCTCAATATGCACAATCATCCAAGGAAAAGCTATCTAATGATCTTTGACTGAAACAGTTGCTTGTGACAGAGAGGGAGAGAAGATGAAGAAGAAAGACGAAAACTTGGCTTAAATTGTTTCTCCAAAAAAGAAAATCGCGGTTTCTGTCAAAACTCAAACTTGCAACTGCAGTTTCATTGACCTTATTTAATGCAGCTTCCTGGGTTTGAAGAAGGTAAGACAGAATAATGATAGGCAAAAGTTTCGAAGCAATCCATTTAGAAAGGGACAAAATATAGGTGATCTAGCATCTGCAACACCAGATGGCTAATATTTCTAGGGAATTTGTTCATCATCATTCATATGTATGAACAAAGAGAGATTTAGGAAAGAAATGACAAATTTTGTAGCAAGTTGAGAATAATTCACCTTCAAAATTCACGAACAAAGTTATAGAGACCTTACCTCTTCTTTAAGCTTAGGCCAAAAACAAAGCCATCATCTTCACCAGTCTCTGAAGAAGAAGAAAACCTTTCATACATGGAACACGGTAGCTTCATCTGTTCAAAAGAAAAGAAATTCAGGTAATTTCTATTCAAGACTTAAGTGCATGCAATGCCATATGAAGCTCTTGCGGAGCTTACAAAGAAGTTCAACTTTCTAGTGAAATATGGGGTTGGAGTTGCATTAAATTGCTCTTCTTTTGGCTGCTAGTGTACATTGTGCACTCTTGTGCTATAAACTCCTGACACAGTTCAAACAAAGGAACTGAACGTTCTGAAAACCCCCTTGTCTCGTGGCTGCAAAAAACGGCCGTGCACCTTAATAAAATTTTCTTTTGCGTCAGCAATCACCCAATTAGCCACTAGCATCCATAGTTCTCAAATTTCAGTCAAAATATAATTTTGTATTTTGATACTGTAAATTATTCTGATGAATGTTGGTGACTGATGAGTACACTCCAACAAAATAGTACCAATAGGACAACCATATCTACGTACTTGCAATAAATGGTGGAAGATTGAAGTGAAAGCAATACACTGACCAACCACACATGAAAGAAAATAACATCTCGTGATTATTGGCAAATAGTATGACATTTCTATACGGTTAAAGATCTTACTAGCATACTGAACTTGACCTTCCAAGTTTTCATTGAACAGTGTGAGCATCTAGGCCGAACCGAAAACATGTTGAGGTATCACACAATGACTATTTGGTGGCTTAAAGTTCATAAATGATGGAGCAGTAGTATGGAACCAGGAAAATTTTTTGTGGTCACTTGTGTATAAATAGGAAGCATTAACATCTCTGTCCCGTTTTGCTAAAATAGTTATCCTACTCTATTAAGGGTTGTAGGGATGCATGGTTAAGCATGACATCCACATAAATAACGGCAGAACAAAGGTTGAGGGCAAGGGTGAAGTTACTTTTGTGCCCATCTCAAGGGGCTCGGGCAACTTGGACATGGTGGCTAAAAGAAGGAAGAGAAGTTGGAGCAAAATGGGCTGCTAGCTTTCCAATGAATGCTGTATTAAGTAGCTGAAATTTAAGTACAATTTTACTTGCAACAATTAAGAGGATCACATAAGAAACCATCATCCTTCATCCATATCGAATCTAATATAGATATCTGTCTATCCATCATCAATTGCCCTATTTTCAGTTTTCAGGATGGAAGAATTTCGGATTATAATCATTGTATTTAAGTGGTCCATAGAAGATTGGGACTAGCTAATATACTGGTCCAGGGTGCTTTAATCACCATTCATTGGTTGGAAAGCTAAGCCATCAATGGTGGGTTAGAAAAATAAAGGCAGCTGCCAGAGCTGATATAGCTAAGCATAAAGATCCTGAAGAAAAAGGCAAGAGGTTTGATTCTTAACAAGAAAATTGAAAACTAACTTAGGCTTAATTATTCAGATATAGCTAGTCAGCTTCATAAGTTCACAATACCATACAGAAAACTCTAACAAAAGAAAAGGCGATCAAAAGAATTGAAATGCTTATGTCATGCATGGTCATCAATCCAGAATCATGGCCAAAGGCCAAAACCACACTGGGAATATGCAGACTTTAGCTGCTTCTGTTAGCAGCTCCCCTTTTGAACTTTGATAAAGAAGAAAAGTTGTCAATAAGGACCCAGAGAGTTTACAAAGTTTTTCTCCTTGTCCATATCCTGATAGAATTTTTCTCTCTCAGAAAAGAACACGATGCAGTAAAGTTTGTTTCTTTTTCCATTATATTAACAAACAATTCCTGTAGCAAAGCATTGGCAGAATCTTCTTCTGCATAGAACAAAACAAAAGAGTGCCTTGGAGGCTTTTGTGCGTTGGCTGTTTGAGTGGGGAGACAATTATAACGAGACCAAGCCAGAGGTTGGTTTCTATTTGTCAATCAAATCAAACCCTCAATTATATATATATCCCAACCCACAACAGAAGCTAATTAGAAGCCATCACCAATTGGACTGTTCTTGAAACAAGCCAAAAAACATAAACAGCACACACAGCAGAAACGAACAAGAACATTTCACTCACAGGGAACTTACCACAAACACCTTATAGGCACTGTAGAGTTTCGCGCCGAGCATCTACCAAATGAAACTCGTGGACATAGCTGCGAGCCGCCTGCCACCACCGATCATCAAAATTCCCCCGGCCCTGCCCACAACCGGCGTCCCCTGCCACTGCCGGCGTCGAATTCCTTATCAGAAGAGCCCAGTTCACAGAGGCGGCGGCTGCTAAAGAGTATACTCTTACAACTGTAACGGGAGCAAATTACGACGACATGAAGAACTCACGACTTAAACTGGAGATAGAATTACGAAAGGAAGAAATGTTGAGTATTGGATCTCATGCATGGAAATCAGGGAAGAAGAGAGTAAAGGGGCGAGGAATTGAGGCAAAAGGGGGAAAGGGAAGAGAAAAAGGAAGGAACTTTGGGGTGGTGGAATGGAATGGAATGGAATGGTTTGTGAGTCTTTGGTGTCTGTGTGACATTACTAATACTATAGGAGTCACTCTTTTTAATGCCTCACGGAGTCAGTCACCCCCAAGAATATTGGGAAAGAGAGAGAGTGGCTTGATGGGATTAGTCAATAAGGGTATTAAGGGTTGGGGGTTTCTTTTATGAGGATGAATGAGAAATTTAATTTTTTATCCAAATTTCTAATTGTAATGTAATCGGGGTTACAAAATAATGATACTATAATATTTAACATTTGTTTATAAATATTCTTACAAATACGAATAAATAAACCCAAGTAATATTAATATAACTTGCATCTCAAACAATTTGTTGCAAAAATGTGTTAACCTATTATATCACTAGTTCAGTGATATCAAATTAGTCCTACCAAACAATGGCAAACTCAAGTCTTTAGTGGCTCCTGATGGAAATTTTATTATTCCCCACCTTGCAATAAGTAATTGCTATTGTATCATTATTTATCTCTCGAATAATCAAAATAAAAATATAAGTTAAGTTGTGGCTAAAATAACTTTGCACCTCAAAAAGATCCCAAATTTGAACTCAATAGAGGCATGTTTTAATATCATGCATGCTAAAATCGATGCAAACATGAAGGGATGATGAAACCACCTTATATTCTTCTATTATGCTCTTTTGTCCAATTGAAAATGTGTGACACCCAAATTCTTTAGGTCCTCCCACAATAGTAAAAAATCTCAAGAACCCTACAACAAAAATTGTAAGTGGGTGGCAAATGCTATTTGCCTGTGAGAGATTGATGATCTTTCAACTTTCATTTTTTTCCATTTTATGTTCTCTCCTTTAATTTCATCAAAAATAATTTGTGCAATCTATTTCTTTCTTTCCCCTCCAATTCCAACACCTTTATTCTGGTGTGGGGTTCATAGGGTAGCAAAATGTACAAACAAATGAGAAACAAAAGGATCCTCTATTCCAAATTCACCTCATCATGTTTCCCCCCACTATTTTGTTCTCATCATGTTTCCCCCCACTATCTTGTTTTGGGGGTATATTCTCCGTCCTTCATTCTCTTGCTCTTCTTGATTTGAATGTCGGCCACGTGTCCTGTCTTGTTGCCGTCTATCTGTGGATTTGACTTTGGATGATAATGAGGACGATGGTGAGATTAATTTTTGGAGGATTGATATTATGGGAATAGCGGTTAATGTTGTGCTTGTTCGTGGGCTAATGAAAGATGTTGGTAGTTACAATTTACAAGTGTCCTATTTTACACACAATCTTGGGGTACAACTTCTCATATGAACGAGTACTTGGCTAAGCATATTAAGTCCTCATTAGTGTACTCATAAGATCTTTTCGTGGTAATTTTATGGATGAAACAAAATAATGTATGTCTTAACTTAATCGGAAAATAAATTTTTAGTTAACTTGTATTTCCATGGAATAAGGAGCATCACATGAACCTAACAATAGTCTTCGGTTGTTTTGGAGTTATTAGAGTAAGAGCCAAGTTACATAGCTTCCATCAGTTACTCCATTAATTATGACTTGTTCCATGTTTGTAAAATGGTTATGATTTCATTTCTGTCATGATAAAAAAAAATTCATGATACCATTTTTATCAGTAAAAAAAACAAAACACTAATGACCAATATATTACAAATCCCAAATTCCTAACAAGATACTGAATGACAAAGGAGAAATCCAATCTGTGTTGAAATCCTTACAACAACTAATCTACATAGGGTTGTGTTCATCAATTTCAGTTGAATTTCTCCTTCTCCATTTTGTTGATAGGTTGCAGATTCTTCTTTTCATGCGTGTGGTTTGTGTGTGTTAATGTACAAAATTTCCCCCCTGTGTCCATCAATCTCTTCTTTGCCCCCTTTCCTACCCACTTGATTTGAAAGGGTTAATACAAAAGTAAGAAAGAATGAATGAAAGAAGATGAGATGTTGGCTTTTGGAAGAAAAATGGAGGAGAAGAAAAATGGAGGAGATTAGCGTGAGAGAATATTATCATTGCACAAATGCATGGGGCCTCTCCCATCCATTAATTTCATCTCAAGTTGAAGTAGATGTCACAATGTCCCAACTTATGCACTCACAAGATAGATTTTTTCATCACAATCATTATTGTAATAACAACTCTCTAGACCACCCCTAATTCCCCCTTCTCTTTTATTTATTTATGGTTTCTAAACTTTTTAAGAACCAAAAGTTGTTGTGCAGTTACTAATCAGGTTAGTTCTTTTTACCAAATAGTGTTTTTCTACTATGGTTCAATGTGAATGTCCAAATCAGATTAATCCAAATACTTAAGTCATGTAATCATTATCGCATTCGAGTTCAACTTTGCATTGAATCGTTTTCGCTTTTGAAATTTTCTTTTGGTTATATTAGGTTCATATGATTTGGCAAACAAAATGCAATAACTATTAATTAGGAGAGGGACAATCTTAGCTAATCTCTTGACATTAAAAAAAGAAGTTAAGGTTATCTAAGTGATCTTTCAAATTTTGAGCACACATGTCAATCCAAGACATCAGTATTTGAAGTTGATATGATTTCCACTATTGGTTTCCCTTTGCGACTAGAATATCCCTTATCCTTCCATTACCTTTCACCATGGTAAAAGATGCATGAAACCCAAAGAAAGGCCTCTGGCCCCCATGAGCTTAGAATTATGCACCAATGACAAGAGGGAAAAAGTGATTGGTGATAGGAGATTATTTACATGACCAATTTATAACCACCAGCACTACCAAACATAATTCTGTCTGTGTATGAAAAATTTACCTTTTGACTTTCCCTTTTGGAGTTGAGGATTGATGGTACTATGTTAATCAATTATCAAATCAAAAGGTGCCCACCTAATTGCCAAAATAGAGAGATTTAACTAATGCTTAACCAACAAGATGATGCTCGCCTACACCCATTCCTCTTCCCCACCTACAGAACTGTACCCACTTAGTTAGGTTGGAAGTTTGGCCAAAACATCGATCATAGTAGTGCATAATGTAATCAACATGGATAGCAGTGAATGATATGCTTAACTTAAAAGAAATTACCTTCTCATCGTCAAGAGGTTAAAAAAAAAATTAATTCTAAAAGCAACTTTCTGATTATATGTATCTCTCTTTGTTTGATCATATACATTCTTATCACGCATATATGGTGTGAGTTGGGCCTCACTTCTCCTTATATATTTTCTTTCATGTTTCACCCGCACAAGTAGAATGCATGATACACTTAACTTCAAAATCATCTTACAAGTTTTTCATTGTATGTTAATTCCAACCAATTAGACATTCACATCTCTCTCATATGACTTTCAACAAGTCTCGCTCTCTGAATTAAGCCCCAAACAACAAGCCTAGAACATGCTTTAATTTCCACACACCTTGAGCTACTCTAAGCTAGCATAGAGTTAATCACTTTATATGGTCTAGCCCCAAGAACATAATAACCAACTAACGTAACATACCTTCTTATATACATGCATGCAAAATCTCCTTATAAAGTCGTATGATACTAATGTAATTAATTATCATCAAACAGTGGTTGATTAGCAAGGAAACCCAAACTATCTTTTAGCTTGTAAAAAGAAGTATACGGGGGATGGAAGAAGTAGATTCCATAGCTACGTAAAAAATGACAAGCACGTGTGTAACTAAACGAAGTTGCGGACTTGCGGCCGACAAGGCAAGGCAACCCTAAGAGTGTAGTTGGATGGACAATCACTCCACTCCAAGCCCTAGCTCCTCTTTTCCTTCTATATTATTATTATTCCATTAGTTTTCTCAGACCTACCTAGCTATGGCATTTATCTTTGCTTTGCTTTGTAGCTCTGCCTAGCTAGTCAGTTGAAACCCAATCCCAACTTTCCATCGTTGGTTCTAGCATTCCATCCCAACAATAAAGATAACATCATTTCCTTATTGTTCATTAAGACTTGAGAGAGTTGACATTTGAATCCTAAGAGTAAGAGGTAATTAATACTCCAATATTAAAGTTGACTGAAACATTAAGGCACACAAATTCAAGTTTACTGGGTAGATTTTTCATGTAAGAAAACGTGCAAACGACCATATGTATGAGACCAACTTTTAAATTTTTTCCAACAACTTCAAGTTATTGCAACTTAGTAACTGGTCCTTCTCGTCGACTCCAAAAGTTTTCAACAAGCAAATGGAGGAGGGAGGAGAAAGGAGAAAGGGGATGGCAATGGGTTGTCACCAACTACATGTGTAAGCTTGAAGAGAAATTGGAGTAGCTAGTCAATATCTACTCCAAACCAAATTGCCAAAATTAGGCCCTACTAGCCTAGCTAGGGATCCACAGTACCACTCCCTCTCAGTAGTACTAGTCTCATACCAAATATCTCCAAGCTAAGGCAGCAAATCAAACCACCAGGCAGGCACCAGCAACAATATTCAATTCACTACTCTCTCTTACATATATCCCTTCCCTTCCCACCCAATAAAGTTGCCTTCTTCTACATATGTGTTTTGATGCTGTCGAGGGATTTGTGTGTGTGGAAGGTTTCTTGTCTTGTCTTTGTCTATGCATTTCACAGCAATATCAATATTCCCTCCCCCCTTTGGCTTCTTGCTTTTCTCTTCAAGATTCCTCTTGAAAGCATCTCGTCTGGAGGTAAAATGTAATACAATCAGGTGTTAATGATAATATATATCTCGAGGGGGATCCAAACCCATGTAATCCATTTGTTAAGTAGCTAAATCTTTGTCAAGGGTTCAATAGCCCGGCCACTTATTTGTATTCGTTAAGAGTATGACAATACTACACGATAGTGATATATATATACATACATGTTTTGTTATGATTTTTGCTTACACGGTTGAATCAACTATTTAGTAAGTAGGATGTATCGAGTTTGATTTTCAATAAAAGCATATTCCTAATATCATATTTTGAAAATAATATGATGTATTTGTCAATAGAGCTAACGATTGGGGTTTATTTCATAACGATGTTTTTTATTAGAAGGAAAAAGAGTTCTGTGGTGTCATCCATGATGCACCACTCACATCTCTCCATCTCAGTTGTTTCTGTTTGCGTTAGTTAGGATGGGTGTATTTGTGAAAGCCCATGTCAACATCTCAAGAAAGGGAAAGTTTGCCCACAACTCTTGGAAATGAGATCCATGGCTTGTCTATTTCATGCTTAAGTCACAGTTTTTAGGGCTATGGTTAAGGAGCTTAACTACTAGTTATGTTATGTACAAAGGACCATACTGAGCTAATATAGGTTTTTGGTATCAGTCAAGTCCTCTCTCCTTGTGCATATCTATCTAATCTAATCTGCCTCTGAATGAACTAGAAATGAGATGATTATACAAAAATGGAGGGTACATACAGGCAGCACAAGAATTTTCTTTTTCTTTTTTCCTCGGGTCAATGGTGAAAGAATGCAAAACAAGATCCCCTCTTGGTAGCGGAAGAAGTAATTCACGTGGTTCTGCTGGGCTTTGAAGAGATCTAGAAGTGGCACAGTTTGATTTCATTCCTGTCCTTTGAGCTTGAATCAAATCTTCAAAGTGCATCAAACCCAAATTACAAACAAAAGCTTGCCCATGATGATTGATGAACCTACAACAAAAAGTTTCCCCATGTACAAAAGAACCCGGGGACTGAAGGCTGCTTCAGCTTCACAACAATTTCGAAAATAATCAATTCTCCGACATTCCACTTCAGTTCAAATATAAGTAAGCTAACACATGCCTCTAGATGGATTCCCTTTATCAGTCTCCAAATAAATCATCTTCATCATCATCATACGAGCTCAACTTACTCCGAGAGTTCTCACTCAAACCACTGATAGTCTTTGCCTGACCATCTTTGGCCAAAGAACTCGCCCAAGATGAACCCAGTTTCCCAGAAAACGACTCGTCATAAAGGCTTTCATACAACCCCTTCTGCCGAGTTGGAGCTGTTTTGACCTTAGTCAACACTTCTTGCAGCTTGTTAGTAACCCCTTGCTGCAAAAGACCACTACTTTCCTTTGACGAAGTAGCCGCTTCTTTCCCTTTAGGTATCATCACACTCTGCACGAGGGATACGTATCTCCCCACGAGACTTCCTTCTTTGACCCCAACCGGTCCAGGCTCCGTCCCTACATCTACACCGTCTGAAAACCCGACAACCTCTACCAGCTCACCACCAACGTGATCTTTGAACACAACTCTTGCTTTCTTTCTCCTCTTTGCATCTCTCTCTGACTGCTGCTGGCTGTCGTGTTTTGTTCTGATTAAATGGCTACTGGGTTTGAAGTCTGGGAGCTCAGAAAGCTTTTCCAGACCGTACCGGTTTATCTGAGTGTTGTAATTTACAACTGCTTCTTCGTCATTTAGATCAGGGGATGGTGGTAAGATGATCTCTGTAGGAGGCGGAAGGCTCGTGAATAAAGCTGCATCATTCTTTCTTAGGACATAGGTTCTTGTTGAAGCAGCAAACCGTAAGGACTGCCCCACTTCGAGCTCCATAGGCGTGTCTTTTGTTAACCTCTCGTTTGCAACAAATGTGCCGTGAGCAGATCCCAAATCAATTACATAAATGCTGCAAAGTCAATAAACCACATCGAAGGAGATAAATCAATTACCAATCCATAGTCAGCCCCTAAAAGCTTATCCTATTATTTGTTGATCAACCAAATGTAGCATGATACTATGCAAAAGCTTTTGTTCCTGGAATCTAAAGGCTTTTAACAATAGAATCAGGGAGTAGAATTGAAGCTTTTATAAGCTTATACCCCAGTTTTGATGATTGGATATTTTAACAGGGTTAAGCCTAATGGATATAGAATATGGATAAGATCAATGTACCGTTATTGAGAAAGTGGTGATAGTTCATAAGTTTGATGCTTTCCATCAGACTGTTCTTCATCACCCTAATATGAACAAAAGTTTCAAAATTTATAGCTATTTCGCACAACTCTTAGGGGTCGTTTGGAGGTTGAGATTTGAAGTGAGGTATTTAGCAAATACATGTAATGATAAGATTAAGTCGTTTTTTTGGTTCACTTTGAGTTAGAATGCATGCATTATCTTTTTGTTGGGCCCACCTACAATCACTCAAAATGAATGATTATAAATCTCTACTAAAAGGTGAGATTGTTAATGAGGGATTGTCTACCCTACTTTTTGTTTCATCATTGCTCTTCCAAACAAAGTATTTTCCTAATACATGCATTGAATCAATACATCAAATGATAATACACTAATTGACCTAATACATCAATTTGAAGAATCACAATTTCCAAACGACCCCTTAGTATCTTCCGATTCTGAGATTCCTAATTCTGCCTACTACATGATTCTACATAGCATCTATAGTTTGACATCCTTTCATTTGAAGAATTCAGCCAAAATTTCTCTTCGCTAATCAGAATACAGAACTTCAAAATAAGAATCCTCTGAAAAAAGGCACGTCAAATCACCAAATCAAGCTAAGTTCTACTGCATCCTTCTCAATGTATCAGAGCTAGTTATGTTAATTAGATAGCTTTCTAATATGCTGGATTGCCCTAATGCCAAATCCAAAACACGAGAGACATTTAGAGGAACAAACCTTCCACTTTTGTGAGGGACAACAGCAGCATGTTGACGAGACACAGACTGATGATCCAGCACGAAATCGCAGGTAATGGATTGCCTTCCAAATATGTGCCTCCTCTTATCGAGATTAATCCGGTCCATAACCTCACCATCCTTCAATACTTCGAGATAATAAACCCCTGATCGAGGCTCGATCCCCCAGTCCGGTGGCTGCCAAGTCGACTGCCCGCCTCCAACTTGAGTGTGCTGCTGAGCAGCAAGACCCAACAATGGCCCAGCCTCGGGCACAGTAGGCTTTTGAGCAACATTTGGTTGCGGATATTGAACTGAAGAACTGGTCGCAGAGGAAGAAGAAGACTCCGAGATCTGAGCTTTGCTTGGTTTGGGAGCTGAGCTCACTGAGACTGAGAATGGTTCCGAAGATTGAGCTTTCTTGAATCGCTCTAGACCAGCTCTACCATACATTTTTTCGTTGTAACCAGCTCCACACAAAGAGCAACTAACAGCAAACCCAAGTAGTGAATGTAACTTCAAGTCCCCATCAAGCAATCAAAATGAACACATCCAAACCCTAACTCCAACTAACCAAAGTGGAAAAGCTTTCAACTTTATGAAGAGCAACCGGGAGAAGGTGAAACAGAAACCACAAAAATAATTTTAAGGATTGCATTGGAACTCCATGAGCAATCAACATAAACACTGCTAAAAGCCCTGCATATTTATCGATACAAATAAAAACCTGGATCGGATTGGAGGAGAGTGAGAGCGAAAGGCGTTTTCTTTTTCGCGGGAAGTTCTTGCGTACGGAGATGAAAGGAGGAAATTGAATTTTCTGAGATTATGAGAAGTTGGAATCTCGAATTAGGGTTTGAGAGAGAGACATTAATTCAGGGTCACCTGAGAGAGAGAGAGTCGGAGACGGGGACAAGAGGATTGTCGGCGATGAAACGTGGTGCAGACTACGGTCAGACCATAGAACTCCCTTGCAGGAGAACTTTTGCAAATTTTCCGTGTATATTCTTAGGGGTGTGCAACGGTTCGGTTCGGTCCGGACCGGACCAAACTCATGAGAACCGCGGTCCATTAGTGAAAGACATATTAGGACCAAGGACCGGACCATTCTTGCATTTGGTCCATTTGGTCCGGTTCGGTCCGGTCCAAATATGAGCTCGGTCCACCATTTCTTCAGTAATTATAAAATTCATGAGGACCAAGGACCGGACCGCATTTTACTCGGTCTGGTCCGGTCCGGTCTTAACAACGGTTTGGTCCGGTGTGGTCCGGTACGGACCGAACCATTGCACACCCCTATTAATATTCTGGTTAGGGAGGCCACGAAGTTTTAGATTATGGACGATTCAATTCCTTAAACTTTTTGATGATCCAATTAAGTCCTTTTATACCACTTGGCAAGCCTCATTAAGAATTAAGGCTTCATTTTGATCGAGTGATTGGTGAAGTGGATGGATTACTAAAATTTGAAAGTTGAAGTGATCAATAACTCGTTAAAGTTGGAGTGTTATTCTTTGAAAATGAGTTATAAGAATCCAATAAATGAAAGATAAAAACTAAGGTTATTTTTATTCATAGATTGAAGAACTTAAAAGAGAAGTTACAAAGTTAATTGGATTGGCATACAATAATTCCATTGAACATTGAATTGGTGTTTAGACAAATATCATTTGGAATCTTATTTCTTTCTTTATTAATACACCCTTTCTTCATTTTTAATAAAAACAAACATAACTTTCCCAAAAAAAAATTTATCTTCGTATCATTTTGACGATCACGATAAAGTCAAATATAAGAAGCAACTGTAAATTATTATACATTAAAATGTGGAAAATTTGTAATATCAATTTTTATACAAAAGTCTAACTACAACTACAAAATTTCATTCCACCCTTGTACAATAAAAATTGCACTATTTGTATCGTGGATCATGAAAAGCATGGTGGAAGTACCTCATGAAAATGCCACCTCTCTCACAATTACAACTTCAACATATTGTTGGCAAACGGCAACAAGCAATCTAAAACCTAAATTAATTTACAGTACAACAACCTCAATACACTAACCTACAAACAACATGATAACAAACATTATTCTCCAGCCCTGGCTTTCTTCCATCACTTGCAAGCTGGAAAACCCGCATTTACCCAGATATATGTTTTCCCTGTGCAACACACAAGAGGCTGCAGAACATGTATGTCAACTGTACAGATATTTACTGACCATTGTAAGCCATTTTCCCCCTGTCTCAATCCACATGATTAATGGAATATTTCAGTTTTCATGCAGACTGAATGTTGCAGAAGGCAGAAGAACCGGCATTCATGTGTTATACATTTGCATACTCCTTCTCGAGGACACTGAACATAACCTTCAAGCGATCTTCCAGATGGGAGTAGATGTTCTTCGTCATGCGCTTCGGGTGCCTGGTGCTCTTCAACCATTCAATCCCACAGAGAACTTGCACATTGCAGCTTTTCTGACTTATGGGCGAGTCTTCAATCTGGTACTTCAAGTGAAGCTGCAAATGATGATGAAACAACACTCTCAAACAGGCATTTCAAAGCGAATAACTCCAACAAAAGGACATTGCTACGATAAATAGACATTCCGTACATTGAAATAGTCGCCAAGTGGTACACCATGAAGTGTCATAACTTCCTCCACCATCCAACCTTTCTTATCAGGAAGTAGATACTTCTGCTGTGTGCTGGTGACCTCTCCTCGATAGCGTGATATGCTCTTATCAAATCTGAAATAGATTTGTCTCTGGTATACGTCAGGTTTCTCCGACTCCCATGGGGTGTACGAGTAACTAAGACTACCGGCTTTCTCCATGATTTTACGCTCCAAGTCACCGCCACCAAACAACTCCATCAAGAAATTGGTCTACAAAACGGAGAGACCCCCATGGTCGTCAAAATCATCCCGATAAACTCATAAAATATTCCATTTTTGTTCTATCTAAAGGCCACGATAGAAGCTTCTGATTTTTTTACAAGCGAATCAATGAACTTAGCATAAAAGAGATGGAGTGAACGGATAAGGAAGAGGAAAGCTTACCGGTACACATAAGGAAGATGAATAAACCTCTGACATGCTGACATCCTCAGTACCCAAGTAGGAACCAGACTCTTCAGAATGCAAGATTTTGGTCTCTGATTCTTCTTCAACAATCCGCACCTTCTGCTCCGGACTTAGTGCTCTGGCCTTCCACAATGCCATGATTGTCCTGTTACAATGTACATAACTCTTAAATTTCAATGCTCCAAACAGTTCATATGGGCATCTACGACTGCTGCAAATGGAACATAAGCCCTTTAATCAAATCATTTCAAGATTACCTATGTGCAACATTGAATGATACAAATGAATGGAATTGGAACTTCAATCTCCCCTCGGCATCCATGCTTTTCGCCCCATGTCTAGCATCCATACCGCGGCCTCTGCGAAGAGTTATAACGACAATCGGACTGCCCATTGACGCGAGAGTGGGAGGAGAAACTTGAATGTCTTCTATGTCCTCCCAAAGGAAGAAGAATTTTGTTTTGTGGCCAAATAAGTTCGAATGGAATCCTATGATCCTTGCTGACAGAAAGAGTCGACCCTGTAGACACAATATGAATCCAAAAAGAACATAAGAACCAAATGCTCGTTCGAACAACAAAAAAAAGTAAAAGCTTTCAACCAAATGGTGAAAGCAACCAAACCTGCAAAGGCATTTTGCGTCTCAAGTGACAGGTGAAGTCATTGATGAGAAACTCTTCCAATGGAAGCCCAAAGAGCTTCTGAAACGCAGAGTTTGTTTGAGGAGAACGTACATTTATCTGCAAAGGAAAATAACTTACATTGGGACTCCAACGAATAGATGCAGTCAAATACCGGTTTTCAACAAGGTGGAAGTTCATACCTTTGTGCCCACTTCTTTCTCCATCTTGCTTAAGTACTCCTTCACAACATTATTGCCTTTTGTATTGTTCAAGAAAATTCTCAAGTGGAGCTTAGATTGACAAGCTTGTGCTAACTTTCCTTTGAGAGGAACCAACACATCAGCAAGATCTGATATATCAGATCTCAAGAAATTTATCTCAGCGTATCCCAAAGACATAGCTTCATCAAATGGCCCGTCAAAATCGTACACTTCCATATCCAGCACAGAAGGTGGATCTTCCATGGCATCAAATTCAAATATTTCTGTCAAAACAACAAGCATATATCACTCCATGAGCAAATGTCACGGTTGGCATTAAATTAATAAATTCTGAAAGCGACTTAGGAAATTGCTGCTGGGAATCAACATTCACCATTCCAGAGTGGATCAGACTTTTGGAACTTAATCGAGCTGGTTCTCGTTTGCCCGTTGCAAGTGAACACAACGTATGGATCACAGAACCCACTTGAATCAACAGCAGGCAGATTACTTCCTTCCATCAACGCAACAGTGAGCACCCACCCATCTCCTTGTGCTTTGACTCCATGATCGCTGCCTGTCAATTAGAGTTGTAGAGTGAATATCAAAGCTTTAAGGAATATTTCCGAGTATAATATCACACCTCAAACTCTCTAGACAAGGACAAAAGATAGCATTTGTATTGTTAGACAGTGTGCATGCAATGAGAGAGAGCATTACTCTTTTGCACTCTGGCCTGCATGAACCGGGACAGCAGTTCCAGCACCCTTTCACATTGAAGAACCAGGATACCGCACACGATGACTTCACCTATCGAATCTGGCAAATCCAGCCCGACGAACTCTAGCCCTTGAATCGAGCTAGGCATGGCTAACCATATATGAACCAGCACATAAACACCAATAAAGACCGTGGACACCACTGTAAAATTGCCGAAATATTGTAAAGCCAACTTCCAATCCGACCGAGGTTCTATCTGCAGTGATGCCAAAACCTGTTCCTTGTTAGATACCATGTCCTTCAAATCAACCGGCTTCACATGTTGTGATAACACAGAACCATATAGTTCGAAGCTGTCCTTTAGGCCTTGTCTAGCTCCATTTTCAATCATTCCTTTCATCATAGTACTCTGCAAGAAGTTCATACGCCAGGATATTGTCAATTGTGAAGTCTGCTCTCCTGATGCCACCTCAGGGCCCGGAGTAATGCAGTAAAGCAACTCAACCCTAAAACAGCTTCCGTAAGGGACATCCGGAGTGTTGACACTAATTAAGACGACAAAGACTTCCCCATCTGCTTTCAGATATGTTTGCTCCTCTGTTGCTTTCACAGCCTTGATCAATTTGCTTGGAGCCTTGATATAAGTGACCACTCTTTTCAAGCTGTCACTGCCACTGTCGAACTTCCAAGGACCAAACTGTTGCTCAGTGTTACCCTGAGCTTCTGCCACCGTTTTGGGAAAACATGAATCAGGCGAGAAGATAATCCAGTTTAATTTCTCGGGTGTGATGGCATATACTTGATCAAGCAGGACACCTCCTGCTAAATTGCTTGGTGTCTCATTTCCAACATCTCTGGATTGCATTTCTTTCATAAACTCATCAAAGCTACCAGATAATTCTTGATCCTCAATCTTGTTTTCATCAGGGACCTCAGGAGGCGCCACCACAGGTTCTTGAGGCTCTGAGACATCAGTAGCTTTACTCGTGGATGCCGAAGTAGAGTTGAACATTTGAGCAATTCTCTCGGCAAAAGACTTTGCAGCAGGAGGCAACTTCTCCTCCTTGGAGGATAAAACTTCTTGTAATATTGATGAAGATATCGAAATGTTGGATCCTCCACTCACCGACCTAGATGGTGATTCTGTTCCAACAACATCTCCATTCTTCTTCAAGCTCGAACTGTGGTAGTCAATATCGCCATCCATCTCAAGAAATGCATTGTTTTGCGAAAACAGTATCGTCAAAAGAATTTCACCTGCACATCATAAATATACAATCAAAAGTGTCCAGAAATTCTTTAATCTTACTAAACCTACAGCCAATAACAGAAACGCATATTCTCAATAAAAGTCAGGAGTCAGGACTTTCAGTTATAAACACCTAGGCAAGAACAAGTGAAGAGAGAAAGACAGATGAAAAGTTGCTTCCTTGAGTAAAAAAAAAAAGTAGCAGTCATTACTTACCACAGTCTTTGTTCTTGGGCTTCTTAGTTTTGGGTTTGAGAGAGTACCAAGAAGTGCCAAGAGACTTGTTTTCGGAATCAAAAACTTTGGAGACTGGGATTTTAAGCTGCCCAACGAAGTCGTCATTGAAGTACTTATCCTCATCCAACACACAGATCACAAGCTCTTCTTTCAAATCCTCGACCTTGAAACTGAACTCTTCCCCCCAAGTTGGGTTCAAGTTCTTCTTCACCACTTTAGTTTTGAACCTCTGCTTCCCTAGCTGGAGCTTCACGTACGGATCACTCAGCCCATTGGGATCCATTGGCGGCAAATTCCTCCCCTCTATCACTCGAACCACTAGCCTCATCTCTCTCTCTCTCCCTGTAGAAAGACCTAAACTTTCAACCAACCCACCTCAGAATGAGTTGAATCCAGAAGCTATTTGAATTCAAACAAAGGAAAAATGATGCGCCGGCAGGAAAAGGAAGTCAATTTGAAACGTCACATGAAAGAAACCCCAAAGGAATAGGATTGAAGAAAGCAAATAGTTCGAAACTCCGGGGTTTATGCAGGAATCTGCCGAAGAACGAAGCTTCCCCGAATGACGACCCAGTGGTAAATTAGTAGAGAAGGGAGCAGAAAGTATCAAGACTGGCAGGAAAGAGAGGAAGAAAAGACAGAGAGAGCGGAGGAAATGGAATTGAAAAAATAAATCCAAACCCCAATTTTGAATGACATAAATGATGAGGAAGATGCTGTGGAAGGCGGTAGAGATTTACGAATAACCCTAGAAGAATAACTACTGCAATAATGGTTGACGGGACGGTGGTAGGTCGTTGAGGAGGGAATTAAAGCTGAAATTGAGAATTGAAAGCGAGGGAGAATAATTGAAATTTCTACAGGGAAAGTTACACAGCTTTTTCATTTCAGTAATCGGAACTGCTTTCTTCGTTGTTGTTTATTAAAAATAAAATTCATCGGTGCGGATTTTCAAACTGCCTTTGCGCGTCAAGATGTTGGACTTTTTTGGCTCGAGGATTTGTGTTTTATGCTTCTCTGTCATTTTTCGGTTCCACGTCTCTGTGTCATCATTCTTACTTCTTACGGTCTTGCCTTTTCAATCTTCCTCCTAGCAAATGTATCTTTCCCTACTCGTGAGATCAATTGTCCAATAATGATTCTGGCCTGGGTAAGCTAAAAAGAATAGAGAGATACATCAAAAAATAGAATTTACTTGCAGGTGAAGATTATTATATAAGTTGTAAGCAATAACATATAATCCAAAACAAATCCCTCTAACAGGAGCATTTCTTTGACATACATTGCCCCAAAAATACCAGTCACACACACGTTAGCTCCATGCTTGCACTTTAATGTTTTTTATATTCTGAAGACAATTCATATTTTGATTGAACTATACTCCAACGACTGCCCATTTGAGCTTCTTAGTTCATGGTCATGGATGATGTTGTTTGGTTTCAACGAATACATTTATAATTCACCTATTTATAATTACTTTCTCAAGAAAATTTGCTCAAATTATTTACTAGCATCTATTATGTGAGATTTGATTTGAGGTGGATGGAAAAGTCTAAAAAGCAACACTCTTTTTAAAACCTGTAAAACACGAGTAAATAAGAATATAATATTACAATATATCATGAACTATGCTAATAATATCGTATAAAAAGTACCGATATACAATTTATGAAAGGGAAGTACCTTTCCGTTCATCAATGAACTTAAATATGAGGAGTTTGGCTGACCATTACATATGTCATTTGAGATTTAGTTTGAGGTAGGTGAGTAAATAACAATATGTTTATCGAAATGTATGAGTGAACGCTAATCTTTATCGAAATACAATTCAGAAAGTCGCAATACACGTTTATGAAAGGGGCGCTTGTCCACCAGCAACAACATTTCAAAGTCTTGGAGTTTATTAAAACCTTCCTACGATCTTCACTTTCAAGAGAACTTAACAAATGGATGAATCATTACATGACATTTTAATGGAGGAGGCCGAGAAATGCGCCAAAGAAAGCAACAGCAAACAAGGGAAGATTTTGTCACTAGAGCTGATAAGTAAAACCACACCTCACCTGAGTCGAGACTCGAGAGTCGAGTGAGACTGATACATCTCTAAGTTAGAGGTCAACTGGCTCAAGAAAAACTCATAGCTCTTGACCAGGATAAAACAGTTTCTTCAACTTCTTATTATTCTGTCATAACTAAAACAAAGTTCCCGAGACAAATCAAGAGCAAAACCTCAACGGGCATCCGAATTAGTTCGGAAGTACGAATCACCAAAAAAAAATTCTAAAACCTTATTACACCTGTAGTTCCGAAAGGGAAGAAAATAAAAATACACTGAAGATATCAGCAACTCGTCTCAAATCTTCCTCACTTGAGTTTCGGGAATAGCTTTGGTGCGACCTGCAATGAAATTTGAGTTTTTGCAGTATTAGATATTGACGGATGATGGAATATACCCAGAGCAAATGAAAACACGAGACCCAATTAGCCGTATAGTTGGAAACTTACACATTTGTCGACACAAAACCAGTAATCAAAGTACTGCCCCGTGCAGTGCTTGTGATCATCGCCTTGGATTCTCTTCACACATGCCTGAGTCAACAGTGTTACAAGCAAACATCAAATTGTTTGCAACGGATAAACATATCAGCAATACAAATGGTTCTTCTAGAGATTCTCATTCAAGGAATAACACAATAACAATGGTGAGCACATGGAAGGATGTGGTACTTCCAATATTTATATCACTAGTACACACCTCATATTCGAGCAAGGGTTTCACACACTTCGGTTTGCAAGATTCTTCCAGGTACTTCTTCTGATCAACAGGTTCCTCATCAGCCCTGAATCCAGAAGGGGAAAATGATCAGTTTTAAGGAAGTTTAGCAGTGTAAAAACCATAATGCAATATGCTCATATATAGTTTAGAGCAGAGTTATCACTGATCATGAAAAACAGAATCTTTAATGGTGGGAGACAAACAAAAAACTTTCTTTAGTATGCAATGGCTCATTTCTTACAGGGATTTGACACAATTCACATCTGACAACAAATTCAAGTCGAGCTTAAGTATGCCTTAAGTGTTTGTATTTAAGCTCTCTAAGTTGATTCTAGGAACTTATCAGGCTGAGCTATACAATACAAAGTATATAAATCTACTATTGGTTGAAGCATCCAAAGGAACAAGAGAAAGAGAAAGTATTTGCATTCCTTCAGAACTTGCACCGTCCGTTACTAATTGACCAGATTGAATGAGTAGGCTATGTAAAACAACATAACTGATTAGGACCAACATTACAATACGGATTGAAAGGAAGAGGAAAATAATGCTTACATTATAGGTTAGAAGAGTTTACCAAGTCGCGCAGAGTGGGCTTTGTTAGAAAGTCTGTCAATTTGATTCCAAAAGCAATGGCAAACAATGAGCTTTGGTTGAAGAAGAAAGAGGTACATATTTTTAAGCACTACATCAAAATCGAAGCAATTTACACACATTGCAGCACGGTAAAGCAATGCACCCAATAATCCGACCAAGCAGGAAAGTAAATTCCACATTACCAATTCAAAGCCAAGCCTACATAAAGATTCATAAGAAGAACACTACGGGCAATTTCACCACCCGCAACTGAAACCCCATAAAGAAATACACTTTATTTTAGCTCTATGAACTATGAATCTACTTAGGCGAATTGAAGCCAATTACTCTCGCGGAATCAATCATTTCTCCCGCGCTTATTAGCATCCAAATCAGAATGCACATCGCACGGGTATACCCTCCTGGCTATGAAATGTCACTAAAAACTACAACGTAAAGGAGCGGAAATACCAATCCATATACAAGTCATCGGAACCCAGTAAACCGGAGAAACGAAAGGCGCAAGCTTTACGCAGAAAAATCGAATCTATCGGACACCCAAAATGGAAAACAAGCTTTAGCGCGGGGCAGGCAGCAGATCCCGCCATGAAAAACTAAGATAACGAACATCTTTCCCATCGAAACAATAGAAGACAAGAGAGATAAGGAGAGAACCATACCGATCGCCGCCGAGCTCCGACTGCCGATCTCCGGATTGAATGAAAACAAGATCAGTCTCCCTCTCTGTATGTATAATGATGAACGAATGAAGGCGAGGTCAATGAAACTAGGGATTTGTAATTTGTTGAATGATCCTCAGTCCCCACTTTCTTAGCTTTAAAACGACGCAGTGTCAGCTGGAAAATTACAAGCACATGCCTATATTTCTTTTTTTTATCCCCAAACTGATCCCTGAAACATTTGAGACTGTTTCTATTAGTCGTAGATTATCCTCTCGTCGATCTCTTCCTTCCTTCCCTCCCTCGTTTCTGGACGAACATCGGGGAGACCAGCGGAGTAGCCGATCAACGGCGACTTACGACTGAGCATATTGGTTCAGGCGATTCCCTCTTCTGATTTACCGGTTGGAGAAGAACAGGAAGGTCGCTAATCCATTAGCCACGCCAGATGTATCATCCAACCCGTGGTGGTGTTCGCGGTGGCCGCGATCGTAAACTTTCTGTCGACCTCTCTCTTCTGATTCTTGTTGTACAGTCTATCATGGCGGAGAATTCTCCAACTTAGAATACGCTTGAATGTTTGGCGCGATGAATTCGCGCGGTTTTGCGGCGGGGATTTTACTTTCTCAATCAGCATGCTGTTGTTTGCATTTTAGGGTTTACTTTCTGCGATTCGACCCAATTCATCTCGAGAATTGATTCAGTGCCTGATTAAGAATTCGTGGTGTGGTTGATAACTGATTGCTGTACACTTGCTTGTTGTACTTTGCAGAATTCAGCTGGGATGATGTTAAGGTTGATAAGCATCGTGAGAATTACCTTGGCCACAGTCTCAAGGCACCAGTTGGAAGATGGCAGAAAGGTATGTTGCTATTGCTTGATGTTCAATTGTCTTATTTGAAAGCTCGAAACTTGCCACTGGTCTTTTCTCCGTTCAGGTTCCCCTATATGAGACTATTCGTCATCTGGTTTTATGTTTCATCCCGACCTGTGATTGTGTCCCTTGCAGCCTTGTATTAACTTGAGGATTAAATTGTGTTGCTTCTGTTCCCCTAAAAAGCTTCAACCTTTATCGAAAGATTTGATTGACCCGTGAAAACAGATTTCCAATCTGATTGATTCTGCAATTTGGGAAGTGATCATGGGCTCTCAGTGCCTGCATATGAGTCGTAGCATAAACTCACTGTGGGGTTTCTTTTGGATGACAAATCTGCTGAATCTGTCTCTCTATTTTTGTTTTATCAGGGAAAGATCTGCATTGGTACACTAGGGACAAGAATTCCGGGTCTTCGGAAGATGCTCTAAAGGAAGAGATTAAAAGGATCAAGGAAGAGGAGGAACAAGCCATGAGGGAGGCCCTTGGCTTAGCTCCCAAACGAGCTGCCAGGCCACAAGGAAACCGGCTCGATAAACACGAGTTCAATGAGCTGGTGAAGCGAGGATCCACTGCAGAGGACTTGGGAGCTGGGCACACTGATGCAGCACGTGTTGATGGTCTTGGGTTCTCGAAGTACGTAGTTCATCATTTGCAGTCCAACCTTGGACATTTTATTGATCAAGATGTTGCATCAGACTACTCGTCTGTTAACTTGGTATTTTTATGTTTAATGTTTCAGGGCACCCCGTCCTTGGGAAGACCCCTCAACCCTTCCATCCTTCGGGACGGATGTTGCATCCGAGCCCCCAAAGGTCGATATGCCCAATCCATCACCCGAGGTCCCAGTAGAAGTCGAAACAAATGATGAAATCGGACAGAAAGAGAGTAGGAGGCATGGGGAGAAGAAGCAAGAAATGGAGAAGAGAAGGGAGAAGGAGGAGAAACATAGAAGACACGAGAAGAGGCATACCCGGGATTCTTCAGATGACAAGAGGAAACACCACAGGGAAGACAGGGACAAAGACAGGAAGAAGAAGAAGAGAAGGAGACACGACTCTGATGAAGAATAGAATGAATGAATGCCATTTCTCCAACAATGTTTGTAGGAGAAAAGCAAAGACTTGAAGTATGTTTTACTGTATCACTGTGGTATTCCAGTTCTAACAATTGAAATCTGTATGCTGCAAGGATTTGTCAATGGTAAGTGTTTTACCATGTTGTACTATGAATTATGTATTTGGTTAGTTGGTTTCTGCAAAGAGAACTGCATTTCTCCCCAAAATCTGTATGTTACAAGGATGAAGGAACAGCTCCTTGCAAAAGAAATGGAGGGAAAAAAAACCAACCAACCTTTTGTGGTGGGACCCGCCAGGTCAAGCAGCCACCAACCGTTAAGCATATTCCATTCTCCAATCAAACCGCACTGATATATTTCAAAAAGAAATTAATAAATATCTTACCAAAAAGCAAAAATGGAAACCAACCGGAAAAAGAGTTCATTTTTCTTCGCTCTTCACTCTTCAGCGACGCGGCCCAGAGTCTCTTCGTCGGCGGAAAAATGAGCGCCCCGGCAGCTACTCAGCTCCTCGATCTCCACAGTGCTCGAGCTCTCGTCGACTCTGTCGAAGCTTTCCTCTTCGATTGCGATGGTCTCTCTCTCCCTCAACTCCTCTCCTACTTTCCTGTTCTTCCACATTCTCTGCTCATTCGTTATATTTTGGCGTTGCAGGCGTGATCTGGAAGGGCGACAAGCTCATCGATGGCGTCCCTGAAACTCTCGATTTGCTCCGTTCCAAGGTCTTCTTTATTCCATTGTGTTCGCCATTGATTTCTTTGTTTGGATTATATAGAGATGAAAAGAGAAAAATCGATGTTATATCGACTTCGGAATCGCAGGGGAAGAAACTGGTATTCGTCACCAATAATTCCACCAAGTCCAGGCGCCAATACGCCGCCAAGTTCCATTCACTCGGCATCTCAGTTAGCGAGGTGAAGTATTTTGAAAATTTTGTATCTTTCTGTTTCTTCATCGCTAGTCACCTCATTTTCCTTCCCTCGTGATTTGCAGGATGAGATTTTCTCGTCCTCTTTCGCCGCGGCGATGTACTTGAAGGTTAAGGAATTCCCACCGGAAAAGAAGGTTTGGTTTCTTCTTATCATCGCCCGTTCAGGTCCACGATTTTCCCCTGATCACGAGCTTAGTATTTGAGGGGTTGATGTTGGGATTGGGTTACAGGTGTATGTGATAGGCATGGAAGGAATAGTGAAAGAATTGGAGCAGGCTGGCTTTACAGCCATTGGAGGGCCGGTGAGTTTCCTAAAGCTTATTTCAATAGTGGATCAGTATTTCCATTTTTCCTGTTCTGTTGCAAAATCATTTCTGTATGTGTCATTTGAGATGAGATGAATGAGCAGTTAGTCCCTTTAGCTGTTTAGCCATTTGGGACGGCATATTGAATCGTAGAACTCAAGAAGGTGCATAGAGCAATCGTGAAATCATATAGCAGAAACGCGTGATTGTAAACAATAGTTAAGAGGTAGAGAGATAGATAGGTATGAAACCGAGGGAAAAGTCACCTCGGGCTTAGCTGATGAAATCGTGCGAAAAAAGTCCTCTTTATGCCATTCTTAGTAAATGTGCAAGTGTTTGTAGAACCCTTATGGGAAGCATCTCGGTAGTACTGCCAAGATCTTCCCAACATGATATCGCAAGCTCTCATTTTCACGACATCACAAAGAACCTCATCAACATAGTATCCAATGGAGAATGGAACTTGAACCTGTATAATCACCAGAATTGCACTGTTGCTATTTGTACATCCAAGACGGTTAGAAGGTTGAGGGTGGTCAGTAAGCTTTGGGTTCAGCTTCTCCACCAAAGTAGTTGAACAATGCATTGATGTGAAGGCGAGTGTCCCTTTTCTCATCTTCAAATTCCGTCTCTAGTGCACTTGGCATTCGTCGAATCAGTAGCATCTTTCCATCATCACCTTACACAGACCTGGATTCCTCAAAAACAGCTTCAGCTTTTTGGCCTTGAGCTTCTTTAATGACAATGCTCATTAGGGAATCATATGTAAAATGGCCTCTTCCATGACACTTTTAGAAGATACACTCTACTCTCTTGGAGTTGGCACATTCAACTTAGCTGCTGATTTTTCAGATAGGATACTACTGAACCCTCTTTAGTTTTCTTGGTAATCACAGAAAATTGATTGACTACTTTCACCATGTAACTACCGACGCTCCATCTCGGTGTTCTCATCTGTATCTGTGTAATTATATTTGCAGGAAGATGCTGAAAAAAGAGCAGAATGGAAATCAAATACTCTCTTCGAACACGATAAAAGTGTAATGTAACTTTTCATCTGAATTTCCTTCAGCTATTACCCTTTAACTTGGGTTTTCCCTAGCCTGACACTGCAACTTGTGTATTGGATTAGGTTGGAGCAGTTGTTGTAGGATTGGATCCCTATGTAAACTACCACAAACTCCAGTAAGAAACCCCTGAATTCCATTCTTATTCAAGTTGGTGACTACACTGCTTCATGGATAATATTTTTAATGTGGTGATTTCGGTTGGCAGGTACGCAACCCTTTGCGTGCGTGAGAATCCAGGTTGCCTTTTCATCGCCACAAACCAAGATGCAGTTGGCCACATGACTGATTTACAAGAGTGGCCCGGTGAGGGAGTTTGAGCTTTCTCTTTCACACACTAACCAATCTGGTTGGTTTACTCTAGCAGTCGTCCTTACTCCTTACTTCGAATTTCTCATTCGCAAATCAGGTGCTGGCTGTATGGTTGCTGCCTTGCGTGGCTCAACTGAGAGAGAGCCTATTGTAGTTGGAAAACCCTCCACCTTTATGATGGACTTCCTATTACAGAAGTAAGAGCAAACATTTCATTCCTAAATCTCTGTTAAACAACTGCAGCAGTTAGGGTGAATCTGTTCTCAGTATCGTACCAGAGTGTTATGGCCGTGCAATGTTTGAGCAGCTGAATTTGGGAAGAATCGGTTGTTTGTGCAGGTTTAACATCAGTACCTCGAAAATGTGTATGGTGGGTGATAGACTGGACACTGATATCTTATTTGGACAAAGCTCTGGCTGCAAGACTCTCCTTGTTCTCTCAGGTACGTGTTGGAACTAATACCAATGGGATTCGATGGGGCAGAATTACATTCAAGTAACACTCATAAGCTGGTCCAAAAAAATTGCAGGTGTAACGACTGAAACCCTTCTGCACAGCCCATCGAACCAGATCAAACCAGATTATTACACAACTCAAGTGTCTGACTTTATTGGATTTCTTGGATCCTAAGTCATAACTTATTCCTTGGGGAAGACAGTTTATGAAAAAAATTGTGACGAGCTTACCCCCAAACCGAGGTTAGTTATTCATCCTCTGCAATGACCACATTGTGTATGACCATAAATGGGAGTTATTTGTAACATTGACCATGAAAATGAAAGAGGAAAATAAATGCATGATGTTGACTTCCACCTCGTTTAGCATGTGTTTTTTCTTTCTCCGTGTTATGTTGGTTTTTTTAATCTTATTCGTCGAATTTCGTCCAAATTCGTTGTTAATTGGTTAACGGCACGTACATTCTCCAAATCACATACATGAAACGAACATGGAGCAATGAGCATATACTTCAAGGTAAGTATGATTAATGGTCCACATTGTTGTTCCTCATCCGGTTCCCTTCCACTACAAGTTACTACTACCATTACAAGTTGTTGCCTGTCTGCAAGCAAAGGGGATCCAGCTGTGTGCTACTCTTCTTCTCAGGTCATTCATCATCTGATCCAGAGCTAGTCGTTGATTCGTCATAATCAAACCTTGCATGATCCTTCTCCTCATCCTCACCATAGTCGGAATTTCCCAATGGAGGATGGTAGAAACTTCTGTCACACATGTGGCTCGGACAATGCGCACAACCTGTGCGTATATCTGCAAGCACCACACCCTTCCATCATCATCATCATCATTAACTTCAAGCAAACCTACCTATCTATCCATCTATCTATCATTAAGCTGAACTACTAAGACGACGATGATACAAGTTAACTGATTACTTACCACTACTACACTTATCTATGACGAGACAGTTGAGAATGCGGGTTGGCTGCCGGTAGACTTTGAGTGTCTCGGAGAAAAACAGCTGACTGGGAGAGTTGTTTTCCAATACAGCGGGGTCGACGATATTCTTGGCTGTGAAGTTGGCGTGGATGACAAGCGTGCCCGGAAACAGATTACACCCACTGAGCAAGGGCTTCCGAAGCACGAAGTTGGTACCCTAATTAACAAAGGACATCAACTTATAATACCACTATCAGCAGTTCATCAATGGGCAATGGCAGGTGGGAATTGTATCTAGCTAGCTATGGAACCGATGATTAGTTAAGAAGCATGAAAATCAAGCTACCAACCTCCTTGTTGTTGTAGAATTCCAGAGCTTCTATCGCAATCTTGGTGGTATCTCTTCTCATCATCTCAAAAGCTTGAGGATCATCAACGTCAGAATGAAAACTGCAGTGCAAAATTCCCAGCATTTTGCATCAGAATCTTTACGAGAAAATCAAGGCGATAAACCAAACCAAACCCAAAATTCCACGGAAGAGCCAGCAAAGCCAAAAATACACAATGCAAAAGTATAACGATCCCTATCTAGTAGCTAGTAGCTCTAATGCCGGCGATGATTCAGCCTCATGAAACAAAAACCCTAGCTAGCTAGCTGGCTGATTCCGACACTCAGAAGAAATTAGATTAGAACCAACTGGCTAATTAGAGAGCATTAGTTAAAACGCACTCATCAATGCAGTTCCCAGTCTGAGCCGCCGACTGATCATCTCCTTCCACACCCACCACCTCCTGATCATGAGGTGCTTCCGCATCCGGTAGGTTCGCTTCTGCAAATGCCACCGGCGCCGCCAATGGTGATGACGGCGGCGGTTGCTCCCCAGCAGCAGTGCCGGCCTGATGATGAGGCCCTTCCATCGTTTACCTCTCCGCTGCCGTTGCTTCTTCTTTGTTGAGACTTGAGATTGAGAAGGGCTGCCGCGCCACACTGCCACTTCCTCGTCTTCTTCTTTCTTCTTCTAGTCCTAGGGCTCCCGCCATTCTGGGGTGGGAATTGGGGTGGGCCTTTTTCTTCCCGGGAAAACCAAGCCCATCAGTAGCCCGTCCGGGCCCAGCCCATTTAACACAAGAATTGGAAGGTTGAGTGGTTTTTATGTGTTTGTCTTTTGGTGTTTGTTTTCCACACCCATTTAACACGTCCAGGCCAGGCCAGCTAGCTGATTTGTGTCTTTTGGTGTTTGTTTTCCACACCCATTTAACACGTCCAGGCCAGCTAGTCAGCTACAGCTAGCTGATTTGTGGCTCTTGTATTACTGTTGTGCTCTATTCATATTATTATGGCCCTGCGGGATGCCGTGTCTGGAACTTCAACCGAGTCGAGTCGAGTCAAGTCAAGTAAACTTTTGTACGTACCAACGCAACGCGTGAGGGATCCGCTCCAGCTCGATCGCAACTCTATATAAATCCAATCCTCGAGACGATCGGTGCCATGCACACTACTCAGTCTTCTTTAGTTCCAAACAACTTGTTCGATCAATCTCTGTTGATCAGTTGCAAAAACAACCCATTCGATTCGGTCGTTTTCTAGCAGGCAGGCTAAGATGACCAAGCTCGGTTCCTCAGCAGCTTTGCTCACCGTCGTGGTGGTCGTAGCGGCGGTTCTGTGCTTGATGTGGACGTCAGTGGAGGGCATCCCCATTCCGATAGGAGCAGCAGACGAAGCGGCAACAGGCGCGGGCTGGGCGGCCAAAGGAAAGGAAATGGCCAAGGAGTTGGGCCCAGACGTGGTGGAGGAGGGGGTGCAGCAGGCCGCTGGGTCGTCGGCCCATCATATCGCTGCTGCAGGGCCGACCCAGCTGGTTGGGACCCTGCTGCTGCTGCTTTCCTTTCTGCTGTATGCGTCATAATAATTTATTTAATTAGTAGCTACCCGTCCCTACAAGCACTAAATTAGCTCAGTTCCAGTCCAAAGCTTGCTTTCCCTTCTCTCTTTGAATTTCATGTATCCTCGTCCATGCCTATTAATTGTTTCTACTCATAGTGTCATCCGAATGACTATGACTATGAGTGAGCATTATCAATTGTATTACTATGCCAAGGGATATTAATTAATGTTGGACCAGGGCTTAAAAACACATTATCGAAGAGAAATTGTACCGGAAAAAATTTATGTTAGTGACAAATATAGTCATGTTTTGTATAATCACAAATATAGTCATTTCGTCTAATAAAATCGTTTAATATAACACTAGTTTTAAAATTAATGACGGGATCTTAATTTTTGCCGTGAATTTTATTTGTATCTGCGTCAATGATTTAGGAAGATAGGCAGTGATCTGGCTGGATTGGTTGTTGTCGGAGATAGTAATGGAGCCTAGAGTGAATTTCCAAGGTGAATGTCTATCTTTTCCACTTTCCTCCCAACCTTAGAAATAGTCTCAAGTCATTCTATATCCTTAATTAATTTAATGCTTAATTGGACTTGGTTTATAACTAGTTTTCTTCCCTGTTGGGCTGTTACTATGATGTTGCCTTGCCTCAGCCTGTGTGAAAACATGCAAACAACAACCAGTCCAAGAGCGCGTACCCCACTCCCACTGCACTGCACTGCCCCCGGCGCGTGTAAGACTTGACAGTTGACAGAGACTTAAGCCGTCAAACCAGAAAAGTCAAGCTTCCATCAACTTGGCTCCATGGAATATAGAGAAGAGATAGACGCCAAACAAGAACCGAGTCAGACCTTCGTCCTTACGCGGGAGGGCAGGGCAATCCTCGCAAACTATATATTCAATCATTTCGTCATTTCCTTCACCCAATCCATCCATCCACACTACTTCTTTCCTCTTCTAATCCAAAGAGCTTCTTCGATCTCTGTCACCAAGTGTTCCATATATAGTTCCATTCTTTCGTTCAATTTCAATAACCAACCAGCTTAGCTGAGATGATCAAGTCCAGTTCCTCGGCAACTCTAATGACCGTCGTGGTCGTCGCCGTGGCAGTTCTCTGCTTCATGTCGACTTTGTCGGAGGCCAAAGGAGGGCGCAGCGGCGGCGGCCGGAGCAGCAGCCGGCCTGTCGTTGGGGGAGCGGTGGTGGGCGGGGCGTTGAGCCGTACCAGCAACCGGAACGGCACGTCGGAGTGGTCGTCGGCCGTTGGGGCGTCCGGCCATTATTTTGGTGGACCAAACCAGCTGGTTGGCACCCTGGTGGTTTCCTTCCTGCTTTATGCAATGCAGTAATAAATTAATAATGGATCACTCTATGTACATAATATTAATAGCTATGGAAGGACTAATGGAAGCTGAAAATTAGTGATCCCAAGTTTGCTTCTTTTTTTTTTCCCCACCTCGCTGTTTTGATGCATTGATGGCTAGTCTTGTGTATACAGTTGTGTTGTGAGTATTATCAATTATGCAAGGCAAAGAAGATGTGTGTACAACTACAAACCATTCATACATAAATGGAAAGCTGCAATCTTTTCTCCCTTTCTTCATTTCTCAACATTCTGTCCCATAGCCAACTTTCTTGTAACTATCTAGCAAGAAGGTGCTGCAGGTTTTCTCTGAAGCACATGAGAAGAAGTTAAACCAGCTGAGATCATGCAAAAAGATCGATATCAAGCCTGTAATTCAATGACTCAGCTCACGTACCTTAGTCATCGAGGACACCCATGGAAAGTAGGCGATTATTTACGTGCCATTCTTTGCTCCTTCTACCGCTAGGAGAGCAACGAGGGCACTTCCTGCAGCTGCTGCATTTAACTAAGAGATGGCGAAGCTTGATAGCACAAAGGTAGATAAATGAACTATACATCATAAGGATTAGACTGAAACTATTCCAAACAATGACTAATGAAAACATACAGTAGAGTTACAAACATAGATTCTGTTAGGACTTTGTGACGCTAAAAAAGAAAAGCAAAGTCTAGAAGAAGCTATATAACTCTTGAATTCAAATCGGCATTGCGCATTTCTTTTGAGAATGTCCTAACAAATGACACCGACCACACTGAACAACTCTTTTCGGCCGCTTAAAGTTCTCTACACGAAGGGCCTTCTTCTTAGGCCTTCCAGGTGGTCGTCGAGTCTTAGGAGGGCGTATCAAGATCTCGACTTTCGCACCCCCGCCTTCAGTTCCCTCACCTGGTACTTCGCTCCACATGCTCTTATCAGGAACTGGGATTATTGCCTGCGAGTAGGTCTCTCGGTAACTAGCTACAGTAAAGCATGGCTCTGCAAATACATGCGCATTTTGCCCACAGGAAAGCAAAGCAGCTGAAGCATGTGCACAAGGCAATCCATATATCTGCCAACGCCGACACGAGCACACCCGAGTCCTGATATCGACTATATTAGTCCTCTCGGTCGACACAATCTCAAACTCCACTTCATTAGCACGGAGCACCTGATAACACCGAGCATCGGCAATGGCCTCTGCCATCTTCTTCTCGGCAGAAGGAACAAGGACCGAGTTATAACTCATGGCCAAATCACGACGAGAGTCAAACCACAAATTCAGCTGCTCGCGAATATGCTCCATCATTTGCACAATCGGGACTTCATGACACTCGAGAGCCCAATTGTACAACAACTCGGTCACCCCAAGTGCAAAATGACCATATCGCATCCCTTCAAAGTATGCTATAGCCCATAGCTGAGGTGGGAACTGCTGAAACCAGGGTCCAACTTCCTGAGAAATCTCCACCATCTCAGAGATCTTGCTTTCAAACTCAGCTATTGTAAGGGCATAAACTGCACTCCAGAAAATGTTGACGAGCTTTGTGTTTTTAAACGTGTCTCGGAAGTTCTCGCTGACATGGCGAAGGCAGAAGCCATGGAATGCACTAGGGAAGTGTGTCTCAACTGCCTCCACCATCCCCTTTTGCCTCTCGGACAGTATTGTGAGTCGAGGCATGTTTTCAGTGTTGACACCAAGAAGCTTCCGGAGCTCTGACATGAACCACATCCAGTTTTCATCGGTTTCAGTGTCAACAACAGCAATTGCCAAGGGGAATAACGCATCGTCAGCATCGACAGCAGCAGCACAGAGAAGAGTGCCGAGGTACTTCCCCTTCAGATTGGCTTTATCAAGTTCCAAGAGAGGCCTACAAGCATTGATGAATCCATAGATACAGGCTCGATAAGAGACGAACAGCCTTTGGAAGCAGTTTTCTTGTCCGGTTGCAATAACAGAAGCAATGCTACCTGGGTTGGTCTTCCTTATCTGTTCACAGTATGAAGGAAGGAGGCGGAATCCATCTTCAAAAGTACCATGGAGGGCAGCCATGGTGCGTTCTTTCCCACGCCATGCTTGCATGTAAGATACCACAACCCCATGCTTGTCCCTGATTTCTTGGAGGATTTCTTTCGGTTTGTACTGAGGATTATCTCGAATTCGTTCTTCAACTGATCTAGCCACCCAGCCTACCGAGGCTTGCTGATGGTGATGGTCTTGGACACCTTCACATGTGTGCTCTCCCTGTAATGTCCTGATGGAGAAGGTTGGCACACCAGGGCATTTCGCAACATGAACACGCCATGGGCAGCCTTCTTTGGAGCACTTTGCGATGAACCGGCTACGGTCAGACTTTACTATTCTGAGGTCGAAGTGCATGGCAATAGCAATGTCTTTCAACGTCCTTCTACAAGTTTCTACATCAGCGAATTGTTGACCAATGACTAGCGGGTTATAGGACAACGCCATATCAGATTCTATAACTGTTAGAGCAAGGTCAGCCATGAGCCCAAAACCAGAAGCAGCTATTTGATCTATGTAAATAACAGGATCTTCCCAGGCTGCATGCAGAAGGACGCTATTCCAAGAATTGTAAACTCCAAAAGCAGATGATCCTCAGTATGATACGGGAAGGCTGGAGGAGACAAAACAGAAGCAAGATCCAATCAAATATGGTGAGACCTAAAGAATATAATAAGATTAACCAACACCCCATTCGGCCAAGGGCTCAAGGCTCATACGAACTGATATTAGGAAGTACAGTATCCATTGTAAGAGATCAATAACAATACAATTACCCCTCCCACTGATTGCTATGGTGTTCTCACGCAATGAAACCTAGATGAGCAGCCTGAGCTCCTCCACACCAGAAGTGATTTCTCAAACCAAATCCTTAAACTCCTTTCAGACACTAATAATACACACAAGTCCCATGCATCCAAGATGGTTACAAAGCTTCACTAAACTGGTGTGTTTTATTAGTTGTTCCCACATTGTATACTCATTTACACAAACCACATTACATAGAGTTTGTTACATTAACCAATGGTGTAAGCAGCCACGCAAACATCCCAAGGTAACGGCTCAAAGTTTCGGATTGACTACATTATGCACAAGATGAAACAACATGCAATTTATCAATGTCCTCACTCCTCACAGACAGCTCAAGCATCAACATAAACAAGGCATTGGACTCGAACTATAACATTTTACCATGTAGGATACACATCAGTTACAGCAAAGGATGTACACACTTGAGTTTGGCAACTGTTTTTCGAGATTTGTCCTCTGGCCATAAGGTTCCTCATCCTGTCCTAAATTCGCATCCCAACATAAAATTCACTGATGTCATTCGAATGAGAAAATTTGTACTCCAAGGCATGTGAATGCTTCAAGGATTTAGACAACATTACAAAAGCTAACACAACAGATTGCAACTGAAGTGCTTGAGAGTTCAAAAGCAATCGAGCTCTCAGTATCGTATCCATCTAACTTCAAGAGGCCTAAAGCACCCTACGTACACAAACTACTGCCACATCCGATAGCAACCACACACTCTCAGCTACGTTCAAATTCTCCAAGTCACTCATGCTCTCTCCAATACAATCTATTCAGAGTTCAAGTTGAGATGTATTACCTTTTCTCATCAATCAGTGTACCATTCAGTTTTCTAATTCCCCCCACCACCACTCCCACTTAGCTAAACCAAACACTACAATTTCCTCAGAATCCCAGAGACAAAGACGTGAACTTCTCGATGAAAAGAAGGTTCGCAGAGAGAAAGAAAGAGGACAGAAGTCATTTTGTCGGCAGCAGCAGGTCTCAGTAATAGGGGAACTCACCGTATCCGGTAGTCTCAGAGAGCTGATTGACGGTGGAGGAATTCGGGGGTTGCGCAGTGCAAAGGTGACCGGAGATTACGCGGGATTCTTCCGACGAACGGGACAGTCGAGGTCGGGGAAAGTTCTGTTCTGTGGCGTGCGAAAGAAAAATAACTCTCGCGGAGGAGAGAGAGAGAATTAGGGATTCTGTTTTGATTTGTGTTTTTGGCTTGCGCAATGCGCACTCTAAACGGTGCGTGTAATTAAGTTATCTTTTAGGTAACAATCGGATCGGATATTAGCCGGCCCGGTTAGGCCTAAGCAAAACCATTTGGTTCACATTCGAATCATATCAGTTGAAACTGAAATTTGACTATGATTCTGGTGGTTAAAGCTTATTTCGGTTTTTATTATAAGATTCCTTAAAAACAAAAGTATGCTAGATGAATAGATTAGAATGGAACAGAACATATCATTTGGTTCTAGTACGCATCTTTCCTTCACATTTCATTCGGTCCTACATCAGCTCGATAGAATTTCGGAGTATCTAGACAATAATTACCCCTAGATGCACAACAATGCAAAAGCATTGGTCATCGCATGAATAGGGTCGGTTAGATGCAGGCTTAGATACAAGGTCCATTGACATCAAAATGGAACAGAGAAGAAGGAAAAGAAAAGGGCAAATCTAGTATCATAACGGTCTTCTATCTCTTTTAGACTCTGCTGAAATGACATGTTCAGTGTAAATGCCTAAACAATGTCAAGAGCCAGATAACAGAAAATTTCCCTTTACCTATATCAAAGAGGCCATTGAACTCAAGAGTTACAGAAGTGCACAAGGGATATTATCGCTCGACAAAATTAGTCTCGTTCCCACGATGACTTGGACCCTCAACTTCACACTAAACTAAAGGAAAGAAACGAAGAAACATCGCTTGCATATGAACATGCAACAACGGTTGTAGGGGAGGATTAAGGCAACAATGACTGTTCTGCTCTAATTAGCAGCTATAGCTACTGGTAGCCCGGAGGTTTTGCTACAGGAGATTCTGCTTCATCCATAGTTTGGCCAAAGACGAATGATTTTGTCCCCATGGTTGTGAAAGGCAATAGGCCGAAAGCTCGAGCTGTTTTAATCTCCCTGGCAATTTTCCTCTGGGCTTTGGCACTTATACCAGTCTGTTACCACAAAAGAAGAATAATCAATAAGAGTTGCCAGCTGAAGAGTCAAGCGAGGCAATACACATATCAAATGGTAACTAGCGGAGCATCCGTCGCTAATGATCTCAGGATGTCTAACATTTGGCACATGACCAATATGGAAGAACGAGTAGTTGAAGATTATGACTTTTAAGTGCACGATTTCTGCTGCATACTCTGTTGAGTTATCTAACATTTGGCACAAGACCAGTAGGGAAGAACATAGTTTGTGATGATGTCTCTTAAGTGCAAGATTTCTGCTGCATACACCGTTGAGTTATTTACTTCCGAATTGAGCATCAAGTTTTGTGTCCCGATGGAAATACTAACAGATTTTCCACATTTCACCAGGCAAAAAATGTAATCAAATCACAAATGCACAGATTTACTCGATGTGAAAGACATATATGAACGCACTCTACCTTGGAGATTTGTTCAGCATGTCAAAGCAATCATGAAATTTTAAACAAAATCTGCATTCGGGCTAAAGCATTACCTTACTCCTCTTGACAATGATTCCAGCCTCTGTTATAAAGTTCGCAAGGAACCTAACATTCTGCAGGAGACAGTGAGATTAAAGTGAATAGATTGCAAAAAAAAAAAAAAAAGAATGCATTAGATGGTGATGAACACAAGAAATCACAAAAAGGACTTCAGGATGACAGAAACCATTAGTTCTTTCTTTCCCACGAGATTGTCGGAAAACACGTACTATCCAGTCAAGGCCAACTTCACCATGAATAGAACAGATAAGAGCTACTATGTACACAAAACCGACTAATCTACTCATCTTATGCTTTAATTTGCATAGTACCAAACAAGTAACTTTCTAGCATCTGCAATTTCACATCTCACAGTCGGCAATATGTGAACAAAAGCAAAGGGTGGCAGAAAAATGGAGTAAGAAACATCAGTGGTTGCTCACCCTGAAATCTGCCTTTTGCAGAACTTCCTCGGTAGTTACTTTGAATTCATATCTGGGTCGCGGTCTATAGGGTCGTTGTTGCTTCCATGGACAAAAAAGAAGAAGCCATTCAGTCACTTTGATGATCAAATGCAAATAAGTATTTAAGGATCAAGCTGATAAGTACAATGGCTACCAAACCAAGTAAGTTTGCGCCCTATCAATTACATAGTAGGGATACAAGTTCTCATCAATGCATCAAATTATATCGAATATTCACTTTGGTTATCATATTGGGAGAACCAATCCAAAATGCCTAGACCAAACAACCAGCTCGATGATGGAAGAAAAACACGAAAAGCTTTATGTTTCTGTGCATCAATCATTACCTTTGAGTCATTAAACGGGCGAAGGTACAAGCTCGGGTTCGGCTGAATACCACCGGGATCCTGTTTGTTGGCGAAGGAGGTGCCACCACCAGAAACTGAATCGAACCTGAAGGCCATGGCGCTGTTCTTCAGCTTCTGATCCATCCCGTCTTGCAAAGTGTTGTAACTTCCGCTATCCCCCGCGCCCCCAACGCTCGCGGACGACGGCGGCCGCTGGTGCAGCACCTTCTGCGCCTTCTCGAGCTGTCGGTAGAAGCCCATCCCACCTTGGTCTGACTTTCGAAATAACCGCTGCGCGAAGTCATCGGTAGGCTCCGAAGCAGCAGCAGCGTTGGTGGAGAGGGATTTGGCGGATGGATCCAGCAGCTGGATGCGTCCAGTCGGGGCATTGTTGAGGGCCGAACGCAGCAGCGGAGCTAGAGCTCTCATTCCTGTAGATGACAAGCTGAATTGGAAAGCAGAAAGTTTTCGGCCGTGAGAACTAGTATGTTCACTTTCCTTGGCCGTCGAGCAATGGGAATTGGGATGTTAAGATGAACGGAGAAGGTTTTCCCCTTTTTTTTGTTGCCGACGACGACGAGGAGATAGAGAAGAAGTAGACCGGCTGCTTCAGTTCAGATAAGAAATGGGCTGACGGCGCGCGAGGGTAAAGGCTAGGATGGGCCGACGGGGTTGGTGCCTAATTGGGCCCTTGCACCACAGGATGAATCCAAGTCTCGGCTATACCATATTAAGCCCAGCCCAATTCTCCGAATATTAGACGCTTTTTTGCTAAATTTGTCACTGATTAGAAGCCATGCTAGAACATCGATCAAACATGGATAAATTGATTTGATGCAGATAGCAAATTCATACAAATTCACAAAAGAAACAAGTCTATCTAGGAAGCAAGTTCAACAAGCAACGTCAACTCAGCCAAAAAAAAAAAATAAATAAATAAATAAAGCTAGGGGCCCTAGAGGAAGAAGGCATGAAACTGAGCAGGGCATGGTTCTGAATATCTATAGATAGAGGCGCTTAATTTTCCAGAACTTGAAGATTCAAGTGAATACCAGCCCCAGCAGCTTTCCCATTCATTGATGATGTTCCCAGCTGCTTCTGTTTAGATGTCTCCGATGATGGTGGTGGTGGCAAAGAGAATCTCAAAACTGTAAGCCCTACAAGATGCATGATTATATATATGTGGTGAGGTGAGGTGAGGTGAGGTGAGGTGTACACTAATTAAACAGAATGTGCTGCTCAATTGCAGGTCACCATCATGCTCCTCCTCCTCCTCCTCTTGTAGTTCAATCACTTGGAAAGCAGAGACCGGAAGACGCACATCGATCGTATGCTTCAGGTAATTTCTGCTTGTGCAATTGACGGCCCGTCTTGCCATCAACCAATGCAACATATATAGGCACCCAAGCTAAGTCAGAGAGAAAGATCTCAGCAGCCTCCGATCGATCGAGTTCCCTCATCCGTCCACCTCCTCCTCTTGCTGCCTCGGTCCGGTGCATGGTGGTCATTGTTAGTCAACGTTACGTAATTCGTCCTCTTTATCTATGTGTATAGTTTAGATCGTGTCTAGTTAGTCACAAGTAGAAATTAATATTGAGGGATCATTAGCTACCAATTACTTTGGTATCGTGCGATATATATGCCTTCCAAGACATGAGCTTGTCATTTGTCAAGGTTTAGAGCATTACAAGGACTGCATATGCTGGACAGCCACAATTAATTAAGGCTTAATTAGGATACTTCTGCCACAATTGTTGATCAATGAACAAAAGAGAGCATTGCCCCTCAAGTGTCACACGACCCATAAGTCGCCACCTGTGATTATGATACAAAAAATCAATAGTGATCGATGACGAATTTGTGATTACAAATTGTTATAGTGACGAGCAAGGTGTGAACTCCAAATCCTCTATACGTACATAGTTTTGATAAACATAATAAAAGACTATACATTAGCATTCGGTTACCCAAACCGATAAATTTAACCAATTGATTTATGTTGTCACTAAATAAATTTCCAATATCCAACTCTAATAATATATATTCAAATGTCAGACTCACAACCTATCATCTCTTAAATGTTTCAATATTACATTGCGATATAAGATTATTACAATAATTAGAATTATTGAAAAGGACACCATGCATTTTGGTCATTCTTGTTTGCCAAATTATTAGTCCTATCATATCCCTTGCTAATTTAGATTTCCTTGCATGATTAACTGGAAAACACTTTCTCAAAATACAAAGTCATTATCGTTGAATGACTTATTTAATGCTTACCCTTCGACACAAGTCCAACCTATATATACACAAAAAATGTGCTGTATAAAAACCACCACGTACACCATCATATAATTTGTACATTAATAGTCAACTCTGAGATCAATAAGCTAGGTGCCTAGGTCACATACTTAACAGTATTACAGTACAGAAATCATTCTATCTCTGAAACGGAGGGTTGCATTTGAAAATGGTGTGGGAGTTTCTCTTCCGTCCAGCGGGAGGTGACTCAGTGATAAACATAAGTATGGTAGATGGAGAGATCGAGGTGGAAGAGCTACCTATTTCGGTAGCAACTGCAAAGTTTCGTTTACGATCCAGTCTAGCTCAACAATTGCTCATGCTTTCATTCGAGTTAATTTATATATGGTCAGAATACATGTTATGCAAGCATGACAATATTTCTAGTTCATTTTGACCAAAACAGCAAAACAAACGAGTAGGAGTTGAGTTCAGAGATTGACCAAAATCGAGAAAGATCTCAAAAGGATTGTTGTGGTTATCAATAAGTACTTGTCGTTGCCTACTTTTTTTGTCGAAATTCATTATCTACTGTAACTAAAAAGCTAAACAAATTATTAATTCACACAATTTGAAGTTGAATAGTTTGTAGTAAAAATGAAACTACAACTATAGACGAGAGGATATATGAAATATGTATTCGAGAGCACTAGTCTATAATTCATCCACAAAAGGCTTTCTTGATTCTCAAGCTTTCTTTTTGGGTTTTTTATCATTCTTTTCTTTTGTTTTTTTTTTACCACTATTGTGTATTTTTTTTCCTCTATAAAAAATCTCTTTCAAGACTCTTTCATCGTTTCTTCTTCATGAACAAAGCTTAGACCGATGTTAAATTTCATCATTTTATATTGTTTGTTAGCGAGTGATGGGAAGATGGAGTATTGATTGATAATAATGATTTTGATGAGTCACCCAACAATCTTAATATATATTAGCTCGGGAACTAATGAAATGAGCAATGCTAAAAACAAATGAAATATACTAGTATAGTAGAGAAAGAAGTAAGAGATTAAGAATCTTAATATAATTTTTTTTTTAAAACAAGAAGTTCCCTTCAAGTCATTTCTTAAAAAATACACGTTGATCCATATGCATTCTTAAGTTTCAAGTATAAGTAAAAATTGGCAACGAATTGTTTCTTTTCCTATGCACAAAGTGCGTGAAATTTGTAGGTGTTATAGGTATTTTTTTGTGCCTAACTTGTTTGCAATCAATCAGCAGTTCATGCTATGCTAGATGACCCATCTGGTCCTTTGGTTTATTTCAGAATACAGCTGGGGCAGGCCCAATTCGATGGAATGGTCCCAGTCCCAAAAGAGGAAGAGGTGGAAAAGAGCACACGACTTGAGCGCCTTAGCCTGCCCTCAACTGGACCATTTCAATCTCCAATCCCCATCACAATTCACAATTCCTCTATTAAAGTTTGCCCATCTGCTTTTTGACTGTTTTGACTTTTGAGTATTCTATCTACTACCACTGCTCGCAAACATACAAAGCAAAAATCTAACCCACTCCAATGACTTTTTTAGCTATAGCTCACATCCCACTCTCCTTTTGACCCTTCAAACAAATAAACTATGCAACCAACCAAGTCCAACCAACCATTCTTGAGAGTGAGACTGAGACATCAACGTAAGTCTGTCTGGTGCATAAAGAAAGTCACCCCTTCATTCTCATTGTTAAAGAAACAAGGTAGAGAAATGGCGCCAATGGAGATTGGAAAACATTTCGCCATTAGCGCTTAATTTATTTCTTATACATGATTGCCAGATTATATATCGTTAACTAATTAATTACTCTTTTTTCCCGAAAAGATCAAATTTGAAAAATAAAAAAAAAGTATTAATTCCGAAAAGTAAAAACTAAACCTCACGGTCACGGACTCACGGTAGTATTAATTATTTGGTGAGGCTCTCTCTTTCGTTTTTGCTCTTTTGTTTCTCCTCAACTCAAGTCAAGCAGAAATCTCCTCACTTTTACTTCACTGGTCTGGGAGGGAATTTGCTCCGCTTGCATCTGCCGCCATCGGACTCCGATTCTTCTATCACCCTGCACTCCTCCGCCGGTTTAACGAGCCCCGGCGAGTTGGTAACTGCGCCATCCGTCCAACTCCATTTGTATTTTCTCGTTTTGCTACGCTTTATGTTATGTGTGTGTGTGTATTTTCCTGGAAAAATCGGCCTGTAACTGCTCTGCTTTCGTTTTGATGGTCGTGATTCGCTGTCTATCTTCCATTTCCTTGATTGTTCTTCGAATTTTCGGGTCCCGTTGATGTGCAGCCGGTGTTGGCGTTCCAGCATTTGCCTCGCTATTAATCTTGCACTTTTTTCTTATGATTGATTTGATTTGGGCGTTTCTCTTTCGCTTTGCTTCAGATTGCGGTTTTGATGGAGATCTGATTGCTTTTTGTTTATCTTTGCTTCGCTTTGGTTACAGGGAGGGATTGCTGAACTGGATTGAATGGAGCAGGTAGTACTTCGTCAAGCATTTTGCTGGATGACTTTTATTTTTGTTCCTGTTCGGATCGGAGTTAATTGTAATTTGGTTGTGATGTGGCCAGTACGAGAAAGTGGAGAAGATTGGGGAGGGGACTTATGGAGTGGTATACAAGGCTCGTGATCGAATCACCAATGAGACTATAGCTTTGAAGAAGATCCGCCTCGAGCAGGAAGATGAGGGAGTCCCCAGCACTGCCATTAGAGAGATTTCTCTTCTGAAAGAAATGCAGCACGGTAACATTGTTAGGTGTGTGTGCTTAGTTCGATCGAGTTTTGTATGCGGAGTGGGTTATGTTGAATGAACTGATTGGGGCAAGGGTGCATGTTTTGGGTTGCCGTTTTTGGAGATTATGTGGAATTAAGTTTTGCATACCATGGAAGCTTGCAATGCATGTGTCTGTATTCAAATTGCACGTTCATATGCACAGCATTGTGTCTCTGGGAAAAAACTGGATGTTGTAACTGAAGCATACTCATCCTACCTTGCTTTTTATGCTAACTTCCTTTCCTTCCCAATTGCGAACTGTGTTTTTGTCCTTTCTCCTGCTGATGTGTGGTTTGTTTGACCTACAGGTTGCAGGATGTAGTGCATAGTGAGAAGCGCTTGTATTTGGTATTTGAGTACCTGGACCTAGATTTGAAGAAGCACATGGACTCTTCTCCTGAATTCGCTAAGGACCCGAACATAGTCAAAGTTAGTGAGCAATTCTTAGAGACAGGGTTTGCTACTGTTTCTTCTCTCTTTTCCAACTATGCACTTGCAAATGTTATAGCACGCAAGTGATTGGAACTTTGTCTTCCTTCTACTCCCCAACAATTGACATTTCTTTTGTCTTAGTGGGGTGGGGGGTTAAAGCTCTTGGACACTTATTTGATTTTGTTTTTCCTACCCACTTTTCCAATCTAGTGATACCAGAGAATAATGGCATGGATTGTGGATGCCCTCTCATCCTGCTACATATTGTTAAACATCTATCATTCTTTCCTATTTGCAGACATTCCTGTATCAAATCCTCCGTGGCATTGCTTATTGCCATTCTCACAGGGTTCTTCATCGAGATTTGAAGCCACAGAATTTGCTTATTGATCGTCGTACCAATGCGCTGAAACTTGCAGATTTTGGCCTGGCCAGAGCTTTTGGTATCCCTGTCAGGACATTTACCCATGAGGTACTGATGAACTAGGTTTGCTTTGTGGTAGCTATGTCTGGAACCTGAGCAGTTGCAATTGTTCATTATAGTATCTCCTGTACCTTGTGGTACGATATCCACGTTCTCATTACCTGGTTATGTAAGGTATTAAGCTTCACTTAATGGTTCCGTGATGGTGTCTTGAAAGGACAAGGCAATATCTGCTGATTATGAATGTGTGTTAGATTTCCTAGCGTGCCCATTTTAATAACAAATCTCCCTTCATGTAAGCAACAATACCTAATAATAGGAAATAGGAGTGCCCTATTGCTAGCAGTGATGTGTGGCTAAAAGTTTTATTTTCCTGCTTTGATTGGCAGTTTATCTTCTTGTTTACTGATTGATTCTACCTTTCTGAAAATAGGTGGTGACTCTTTGGTACAGAGCCCCTGAGATCCTTCTTGGATCTCGACACTACTCTACACCAGTCGATGTTTGGTCTGTTGGATGTATATTTGCTGAAATGGTGAACCAGCGCCCATTGTTCCCTGGGGACTCTGAGATTGATGAGCTATTTAAGATTTTCAGGTCAAGTGCCTTCCCAATTTCCAGTTTGTTCTCTTAGCGGTTAGCCCTCATCGTATGCATTTCTCTTGTTTCTATTTGCTTAAGAATCTTCGATACATAGCATTAATAAGTTCTGCTGGTTTGTTTTTCGCTGTCTCATTTAGTTGTAGCCATCAGTAATGCTCCCTTTAACTAATTTTTGCATTGACATTTGACACCAATGATGCACTCCTTAAGCATGACCCTAGTTTTAAGTTAAATTGTCATTTTTGTTGGCTGTATGTGATTACATTGTGGTAGCTACTGCTTAATGTGCATTTTCTCCATCAACAATTCTTCTGTAGACATCTGACGTGATGATCCACCATTTGTCCGCTCAAAGACACTGAATGCTTACACTCATATTTCCCCTTATCTACAGAATCATGGGCACACCAAATGAAGACACCTGGCCGGGAGTAACATCTTTGCCTGACTTCAAGTCTACCTTCCCCAAGTGGCCTTCAAAGGTTTCCTTGCTTCCTTCTTACTGATGCCTATCCAAGTTTACAAACTCCAAAATGTTTCCTAAAGTTGGCAAACAAATGATTTTCTTTCCAGGACTTGGCTAATGTGGTTCCGACTCTCGATTCAGCTGGTCTTGACCTTTTACGTGTAAGTTAAAGTTCCATCTCGCTCTCTCGTGCTCCGAAACCCCAGGGATTGGCAGTAACATGTGTAATTTGAGTTGTTGATGATTATCATATTGGTTGTTTCGTTGTTGTGGATACAGAAAATGCTGTGCTTGGATCCTGTCAAGAGAATTACAGCCAGGACTGCCATAGAACATGAGTACTTCAAGGACATCGGTTTCGTTCCTTAAAGAGGTAGGCCAAAGAGGAAGAAAAGGTCACTAACTCCCATCTCTGTGCCCTACAAAAAAAGAATTGTATATGGTTTGTGTAGTAGTAAGTCGGGTCTACCCAATGTGGGGTTTTTTGGAAGTGTGAGAAGAAAGAACTGTTTCTCTTGAGAGAGTCCATGGAGAAAGGGAAAAAGAAAACATCATAATGGTGATGATGATGTTTGTTTGTTTGTTTGTTTTGTTTGAATTTGATTCCTTAGCTGAAATTATTAGCTTGGAGTTCGCTTTTTTTACCAAGGGCTTGGAGAATATTGTTGTTTTGGTTGGTTGTTTGTTCCCCTGAGCTTTGATTGTAAACAGTCTTGTTGAGAAAGAAAAATTATGGTTCGGTTTCCCTCCTTGGGTTCAGCCGGTTATTTTGTTGACTGGTTTGTTTCCCCTGAGTCTAATCAATTAGTTGCTTCAGCCTTTGACATATCAACAGGTAGCTGCTGCTGGGTTGTTGCTGTAGTTTCTTGACATGCATAGAAGCTATAGAAAAGGGCTCTCGATTCAAAGATAGTTCTTGTCTGCATACCGACTTAAAGCTGTAACAGAGTGTGTGTGTTCCCACAACTCAAGCAGGCTCCACAGAGCTTCAATCTCTGAACAATGAACATCTTCCTGTGACTGTGATGCCAAGCTAATTAAGTAAGAGCTATATCTCGTCGGCCAAAAGCATACTATTCGCAATCTGATAATAATGCTTAGTGGGTAACTATTCTGTACTCGTTGTGCCGGAACTAAATTCCCACTCTGTCGCCGTCGTCGGAAGAGAAAACAGAGGCTAGCTACTGAATGTTTGATTGAGTTGCGTTCGTAGGGAGACGGAATGCCGGAAATCAGTTACCTTTCTCTCTCTAAGTTTTCTCTAATCGACTCTACCCTTTGCTCGATTCCTCTTCATTTGCCTTTCCTCAGCCAGCAGCAGTGAGGTCTGCTTGTTTTCCTGTTTTTTTTTTTTTTCCGCCCTCTGTTTCCCGCCCTCTGTTTCCGGTAGAGATGGTCCAGGTCGGCCCCGGGTCAATATATCGTAGAAAGTCAATATATCATCAAAATATCACGAAATATCGTCAAATATCGTATATCGTCAATTTCACTTTCTCGTCAATTTCTCGCGTTTCGATTTTGGTTTTGAGGACCCGAAACGTATTGCGTTTCGCCGTTTCGGGCACCCGTATTTCCCATTTTTCGCGCTAGTTTCCGCTGCTCCGTGGCTCTTCCTCCTGCTGCAGTTGGCGGAGGGTGATCGTGGTGTTGGTTGCCGGTTAAGAGATTTTCTTCTTCCTCCCAGACAGCCGCCGGAGCTCCCCTGCCTTGGCTTCCTTCCCCAGCCATAAATTTCCGGAGTATCTGCTATTTCCCTTATTGCCTCTCGGAGTGAGGGAGATTTGAAGAAAATTCCTTCCCCGGCCAATTCTAATTCTTTGATCCGATGTTGAATAATAGTGGGCAATCGATTTACCTAGTCGCCGAAGCTAATTCCTCCGTGTCCGGCATCACTGAAAACAGAGGCTCCCCTGTTTTAACAGTTTTGTGCTCACGATCCGAGGAATAATAGTGGGTGTGGGTTACCGGCCGACGTCCGCCACAGTTGCTGGGTTTCTTCGAATTACAGAAACAGGGTATAGTTATGTGGAACTAATTAGCTAGTTGCTGTCTTGGTTGCAGGCAAACAAAAACTAAGTAATAAGATGGAATGCTTTTGTACAATGGCAACATGTGTCGCAAACAAAGTGGCGCATGCATTTTGATGCCTCGCAGAATGGAACAGACAGGAGACTTGGTTTGATTCGGTAGACAGACCGTTTAAATTTATTGCAGATAAATTAAGACTGGACCTGGACGGTGTAATACCAAATATAAATTAATACAATCTCCATACTCTTCTCTTCTATCTCTATGTGTAAGAAAACATTTTTCAGTCTTGAATTGGTTATATATATATATATATATATATATATAAAAGAGTGCAGAAGCTATCAATTAACTACTCCCCATTTGTTTGGAAGATAGTGGTTGGTCTTGGTCAGTTAGTCGATAGAGGAATTGCTGTAGAAAATTGACAGATGAAATTAAAGAACTGTAAGTTACTAAAAAATAATGATTAATATAGCTAATAAATAAATGTGTTTGTTTGGATGGATGGATGGAGACATAAACCAACAGATGTGCCCAACGATGTAAATATGGGTATTATTATTATTATTATTATTATTATTATGAATGAGCCCAGCCTGCCTGCCTGCCTGCCTCTACTGATTATTTTTCTGCCATGAAAGAAAGAATCATAATCGTTTTCATTTCACCACACACAAAAAATGCTAATCATTCACCTCTCTCTCCCCCATATGGCATTGCTTAGCTTCATCAGAGTATAATGTGAGTCAGTCAAGAATAATTTGACTGTAAAAATGGGTAAGAGATAGACTTAGTATCATATGTCTTTTTGAAGGAAAAAAAAATTAACAATTTTATTTTAGCAAGAAAATTTAGGTGCTAATTCCAAACTAAACAGCGTGACATAAAACTAAGTAATGAAGGACCCGAGAAAAAAATGAACTCTAATAGAGTATGAACTAGATTATTAAAATTTAATCAGAGAAGAACTCAAGTAGGCAAACGTTACCATGTAGATATGCCCGACCCGTTATAATCAATTAATTCCATATAATATTGGGCAAGTAGTAGTTATAAATTTGTACTTCTTTCTTGCTCAATTAGAAAATTTCAAAGGTCCATAAAATAAAATAAAAAATTCAAAGATCAGCTATATATATATAATACATAATACATGGTAACCATTAATGGGTCAGAGGTGAGCTCACAAGTCACAAAGCAAGATGTTTATTTGAACACACTTGTAATGAGATGTGCCTGTCGATCTAAAGGTGTCACTGATTTGTAATAATTTAGCTTAACAAATTGTTTTTACATTGTTTTCTACAATTGCTTTACTTGAGTGCCGACTGTCTTGATAACATCTAAGTTTAAAATAATTTCAAAATTAAACTACCGGTTTGTGCAATTAGTCAATGTGTTTATTCAGCATTGAAAATAACATTTTTCTTGTTGCCTTCATAGTATTCTTGTTACCAAGCACAAGGACATACAAACGTTAAATATATATAAAAACGTAACCAAACACAAAAAATCAAATTCTAATTAACTTAGAGTAGCAGGATATATAAAAAAAAAAAAATCGTCTTCATCACTAAATAAATATTATGAAACGTAGGTAAAACTGCACCATCCAAAGACAGAATTGTCGACCGGGGACCAAAGACAGCTAACTTAGCTACGAACCCTTCCTTCTTCATGTACATTGATTAAATTCTGATGTGCTCTTTCTCCTTAATACATGTACATATTGAAGTCCCATCAGTATTATGTTAACTACCCTCCATACACTTAATTTCTTGTCTTGAAATCCTTCACATACATCATATTCGCTAGCTTCGAAATTCAAATTTATAGATGCATTAGAATGGTGGGGGATTAAGATTGAATTTGTGTATGTGAGTGATAATTCATAATTGATAGATCGTTGTCTCGATCTTGCCAGCTTTAATTAATCATAATAATCTAATAAACGTGTAGAAAACAATATCGGATGGATGAATCATTGTCCTACGGAAAATGAAGTGTAGTTCTAGCAATGAAGCATAGGTTCAATCGAAATGTTTATTTACATGTACATAACTAAATTCTTGATTCTTAGAGAAATTAAACTGCATAAGGATGAACTGAAACTAGCTTCTTGTTGCATGTAAAATATCAATAGGCATTGGATAGCATTTGGGAACAACCTTCTTCCACACTACGGAGAGCAATGGAACAAGAAATAACATTGAAATCTCACACACTCAACCAATGAAAATTTTCGAGTGATCCAAAAGGGATTCCTTGTCCCATCAAATATTGAATGAGATCATTAGAGTTTTTTGGGCCCTCTCCCTCTCCTAGTCTCCTTAAATGTGTGTGTGTTTTATTTCCATATACACTTTATCTTGTGGAATTAACATTATTCATCATATCATACCTAATTTTATTGTATATGTTGTGGACTTTTATCATTGAGAATACTGATAAGTCCATGTCATTATGTGAGGTTGTGCTTTTGAGATTTCGCATGAAATTTTGACCAATTTGCGATGTCTTCGTCGCTCACTCTCTTCGAACAGGACATGTGGATTGACCAGGTTCTTCTTCGGCTAATGATACCTTGATCCCGAAGCCTGTGAAATGATTCAACTAACATGAAGCTCTATGCGAGTATGATTCATGTTGGGTAAAAGATATAAGACCCAACAGTCTAATGAAAGACTTATTTTATCTGTAAATTGGTCCAAAATCTTGAAAAATATTAGATAGGTAGATAGATGTTCAATGTGTTTCTATAAGGAATTCTATAGCACAAAATTGAGTATAGGTTCATGAAATTTATAGAGGTGTAGTGTATATGCTAACTTTAGGAACACCTCTGGCCAAACCCCAACCTAATTGTCTTTCCCTCCCCATAACATAAATACCCTTTCATCATCCCCTACCCATAAAGTTGAGCTGTTTAGTTGGCTGTAGGGCCGATTAGTGGTTAAGGTAAGGCTCCTTATTATAGTAGAATAGGTTCACTCAAACTCAGAGGTTTAGGTTAACTAATCCAAATAGAAGTCAAAAATATATAATTATTTTTCTTCACTTCACTTCAATTATTTGGTTGTTTTTATTTGTTGAGGAAACACATGGAACCACATAAGCAACTAAGTTGTCCAACGAGGAGGAAAGGAAAATAAGTAAAATATAAATTGTAACAAAACTAAATAATTAAAGGGTTCCCTGCATTCACAATGCAGCCTTATATTAGTTTAGTTCAATTTTGACACAAATTAGACCATACTGCCTCTGGGATAGAAACAATCATGCAATGTTTCTATAAGTAAAAAGATGTCCTAATTTCATAATGTAATAATCCAAAAGTAAATTGTACACCACAAAAACAATATCTTTCTTGTATTCCTCTCCCACACAAAACAAAACAAAACAAAACAAAACAAAACAAAGATAACTAAGTCGTATAAGAGTATATGCACCATCAGTAGAACTCTCATCCATAAGAGTATATGCTTAACCACTGCATTTGTAAATGTCGCAAGTTTCTACAATCACATTTTAATATGTCGAAATAAAATGTCGGCGATATATGTACCAACACTTTGTGTAAATGTCGCAAGCTTCTATAGTCACATTTTTATATGTCGAAATAAAATGTCTGAAGATTTATGTACCAACACATTTTGTAAATGTCGCAGGGTTCTATAGTCACATTTTCATATGTCGAAATAAAATGTCGAAAGATATATGTACCGACACTTGTTAGTAAATGTCGCAAGGTTCTATAGTCACATTTTCATATGTCAAAATAAAATGTCGGAAGATATATGTACCGACATTTTTTGTAGATGTCGTAAGGTTCTATAGTCACATTTTCATATGCCGAAATAAATGTCGCACAATGTAGGTACCAACATTTTCTGTAGATGTCGTAATAACTTTAAGTGACAAAATAAAAAACGATATTTGGATTCAATTAGCCGTCATTTTTAATAATTGTCGGCGCAAAACTACACCGACATTTTGACATCTTTAAGCAACGTTTGAAAATGATGCCATATACATTTTTTGTAGTGACCCTACTACGAATCCCCCGCCAAGTAATCACTCGATAGTGATTCACCGTGATGGATCGTTATTTAGCGACTCCCAGTCGGCGTCATATGGTGTTGTTGTCGTTAACCACCATGGTCAAGTGTGTGATGGGAGAGCTGAAAATCTTCTTTGTTCCACCCCGATTGAAGCGGAAGCAAAAGCTCTCTTGGAAGGAATTAAATTAACACAAGAATATGGATCGGTATGTACATTGCAAACTGTCTGTCAAATGCTGATGAAGGCCCTGAATCATAATCAGTCTCGATGGCCCTCGAGATGTGCAACCTGGATTAGAACAATGGTCAATATCCTTAGGACTAACCCTGCAATTTCGATGAAAGAGGTTTCGAGGGCGTTGAACGTCAAAACTGATTGGATTACATGATCAAAAGCTAGATCTATTCTACTAGATGACTGGATTAATATTTTTAATCTAATTTCTGATCTCCTTTAAAATTGTAATCACTTTTTAGCATGTGTCTTTCATATGGTGAAATAAAAGTTGGTATTATTTGTAAAAAAGAAAAAGTATCATCCATACAATAACAATAGTTCATGATCACAGAATAAAGCACAAGACATCCGTCCCTCGATAAAATGTCACTCATGATTTGATGACTTGAAGCTAAGCATGGAAAGAGCTACTCTTTAATTCCCCCTAGCCTAATTATTCACAATGTAGTATGAACTATGAAGTTTTAGCAGTGATGACCGACCCATGCTAATTAAGCACCCATCATTTTTACTTTAACCCCAATTATGCCGCTTCTAGGCATGCTTTTACCCCTTCAATCAATCACCACCATCTGCACCTTCTATGAGACAAAATAAAAAACATTAATTAATCATAGAAAATGAAATTTCATGATAATTTCAAATTTAATTACAGAGTTTATCGGGCCTCCATATAGCGTTCATCATTCCACTTCGCCTCGCGTAAGTATAATAGGGTTGTCCATCTTGTGGCGAAACAAGCCCTCTCATCGTTGGATCATTGGTTGGTCGACCAACAGCTCTTCCTTAATTCTACTTTGTACATTTGACTTGCAAAGGTCCTCTTATTATGTCGTATCTGTTGTATTCCCTCTTGGAATATTTTTGACAAAAAAAAGCAAACTTAATTACGATTCTTAGAGCAGGACCATAGCTAGTCAAAGCTGCTATATTTTAGTGCTCTGAATAATTGTCATTTCCCCTACGGATTTGAGTATGAAAGGCCGACCCTAGCGAATAGTCCACGCGGGCTACGCGGCTTAATTCCGGTCACTCCCTAAGAAATAGGCACTAATAATAGATGGGCTCTTTGCTCCTGGTAGACTGATTGGTGTTCATTAGTCAAGTCAGTTTGCTTCTTTCTTTTACTGACGTAATTGATTTGCCCTTCCTTCCTTCCGATTCCGCTACTTCGTTCGCAAGGACAATGCTAACTCTAAAGAGAAAGAATGCCTCTTATTCAAGGCGATGTACCTTAAAGAGTGTGGTGTCGCTCTACAACGTTGTTATGGCTATAGTGGGGAACCTTGGGTAAGAAAGAACTTTTCTCGGTTAGTGTGTCCCTAAGTAGAAGTGGTTTACCACGCATTTTCTTGGTTACTATTAATTTCCGTCGTCTTCTCATTACAATAGCAATTGGTTCTATTAATTGTAATACTTGTTTCGTGATTAGACATTTTTTTTAATGGGAGTGAATCATGATCATACAATTGAAAATGATACTATCTACTAGTATTATGTATTGGTGACTTTAGATACAACATATTGCCTAAATACATGTCAACTATGAAAAGAATCACACCATTTAGGAAAGAAGCCTGCAAATTAACTCGAACTAGATTAGTGCCACCATCAGAGTTTTTGCTAATGTACGATGAGTTCAAAGAGCAAGATCTCTGTTTTTCTACCAAACCAAAATCATAATTTGGCCTTGCCCTCCTTCGTTCATGGTTGGCTGTCGGACCATCCAAACTGCTAACTCCGCTCCGAGACAAAAACGCTACGACACAACCAACCGCATCATTTTCCATTGTAAAAAGGAAAGTTTATAATTTAGGAATAGAAAGGAAAATCGATTATTGTTTCTTCAAACCTTTTAGGCAGCCATTGGCTTTGATGTCTTTGACAGTTTGACTCATCTACCTCTTGTTCTTCTACTGCGACTCTATCTCTGCACAATAATGGTCCACAAGGAAAGCAGAAGAAGCTTTCGCAGCCAAACCAGGAGGACCATAGTCCAGTGATCCATCCAGATTCCAGCCAAGCCAGCTTATAATTAAACACCAATTTCTTTTCTTTCCCCCCCCCCTATTTTAAATACTCTGTTTATTTCCATCTCAAGCTTTTCTTTTCCATGTTTGCTTTTAGATCTCACCCTCCCTCTTCTAACTCTCACACGCAGATTAATTGGTAGCAGCAGCCACCCTAGCCTCTCTCTCTCTCTCTCGATTGCTTTCTCTCCTTTCCACAGTGCTTTCCCTTTTTGTTCTATTTTTTTTTTTTTTGCTCTCGCGACTCGCCCCTCACTGCAAAAGCAAGCAAAGCCCACCTTCAAGTTCCTGATCTTTCAAGCTAGGTACTTTTTTGTTCCTCTTATACCTTGTTCATTGGTAGGCGATTGCAATCTGCTTCGTTGGACATCTGGGTGCTCTGTTTTGGCCTTCGATCTATTCCTGGGGTTTGGTTCAAGCTGTGGTTTTTGCTGTCAAGATCTGATTTTTATAAGGCTGAATTTGTTAACTTCTATGATTTGGTTGCTTGGTTGTGTCATTCTGTGATGATCAGTTGTTTGTTCCTGCCTTCCTTTTGATTCAAACTGCATTTTTTTTCTTCATGGGCAGCTGACTTTGATGGACTGATTTCCTTTACTTTATAGATAGTGGTCCTTGAAATGAACTTCTTTGTTCTTCATGGGGAGATTTTTTTCCCCAAGCTTTTTTGGCTTCTATGGAATTCTAACCTTCTCTTTGTTTTTATTTTGTTTGCTGAGGGACGTTTTTCACTTTGCTATTTGCTTGATCAAGGTTAAACATACAGCAGTCCCTTTGCTTCAACCTGATTCCGTGTTGGGAGATGAGTGAATTTGGTTTCCCTTGTTGAACTTTACTGTGTTGCTTTTGTTTCTCCTCAAACCTCTTTTTTGACTTGAATAGTTTAGCTCCACTGAGGTAGTACCCTAGGAAAATTAAATCAATCTCCCCTACTGTTGAATTTTTAGCCTCTCTGGTTGCCAAGATCTCACCTTTATGTCAATTTGTTTGTGCTAATTGCAACTTAATTTGGTTGGGCTACCACTTCAATCCATGGTTAAACTATCTTACCTCCTCCATAGATTCAACGCATTCTTTCTTCATCAGATTGCATGTATTAAAATTAATCTCTTTGCATCTTTTTCAGTTTAATAATGTTCAGCTGAAATATACCTTTGTGGGCATCTGGGACTTACTCAGCTATGTTCAAACAGGTTCAATTGTGGGCATTAGAAGAAGAATCAGGCAGAAAAATACCTTTGGGCTTCTGCAGAAAGATATGATTTCTGGTACTAGATGCTTTGCCGCGAATTCATCACCTCTGATGTGATTTTGAAAGAGTTAGATAGTTCTCCATGGCCTCCAGAACAGGTAGTAAAGGTTTCTCAAAAGAGGTTCATAAGTTGCGGCTAGATGATCTCAAGCTCCCTTCTCCAGTCGAGATGAACATTCATGGCCAGGTGCCAAGGCCATTAGGAAACACGCCTAAGTTTCCAAACTCCAACAGAAAGGTGTTGACTGCTGACTCCTTAATCAGCAAATTGGAGTCCACTTCGATATCATTGGCTAGTGTTGAAGAGCAAGGGTCAGGAGGAGTAGATTCCTCATCCGTCAATGATACGAGAGGGTCCCAAGAGACATCTGTTAAGAACAGTTCGGTTTCAGGAAAAGTCAGTGATGGAGCTAGCAGTCTTGGGAAGACTAGTGGGAGCACGAAAATTGAGTATGTGGAAAGTGGGAAGAGCAGCATGTGCAGAGGCAGCACGAGCAGTGACATCAGCGATGAGAGTACCTGTAGCAGCTTTAGTAGCAGCATCAGTAAGCCTCATAAGGCAAATGATTTAAGATGGGAAGCCATCCAGGCTGTTAGGATGAGGGATGGGGCTTTGGGTTTGAATCACTTTAGATTGCTGAAGAGGTTAGGCTGTGGCGATATTGGAAGTGTGTATTTGTCTGAGTTGAGTGGGACCAAGTGTTATTTTGCCATGAAGGTGATGGACAAGGGCTCCCTTGCAAGTCGTAAGAAGCTGCTTAGAGCTCAGACAGAGAGAGAGATACTACAATCTCTTGACCATCCATTCCTTCCTTCACTTTATACCCACTTTGAGACGGAGAAGTTTTCTTGTTTGGTTATGGAGTTCTGCCCTGGTGGTGACTTGCACACCCTCAGGCAGAGGCAGCCAGGGAAGCATTTCACCGAGCAGGCAGTAAAGTAAGAAAATTTGATATCTGACCTGCTGTCGATTTGTTTCATTTAATCTCTAGTACATGGTGTTTTTGTTTCGACTGGATGAACATGATTTGTCTGCCACTCACCATTTCAAGCCTGCTAGCACCTAGAATCCTGTTGTTCAAAGGATACCAAGTTTCCTAAGCTTGCTCCATTGTTTCATGGAAATTTTGGTTCATTCCTTGATTGCACTGACAAGAGTTTTCAGCAGAAAGCTCTGTTATGAAATGAGTTCTGCCTTTATGGGTACTCAAGTTGTAACGTTGATTATCAGAAGATGGCATTCTTCTAGCTCTTGAGTAATGAGTTTGAGTAATTAGCTGTTGAAGTTTTTGACTTTCAAGTTTTCGAAATTGTTCTGGACTTTGTTTCAGGGTATCATTAGATGCTGTTTCTGCCTCCAGCATTCTTAGAATTCTAGTTTGTGTTATTATTGATTTTCTCACCTGCCAAATTGTAATCTTTCATCTAATGCGTCCTCAAATTCTTCAGGTTCTACGTGGCAGAGGTCTTATTAGCATTGGAGTATCTCCACATGCTGGGAATCATCTACCGCGATCTCAAGCCCGAGAATGTATTGGTGAGAGATGATGGACACATAATGCTCTCCGACTTCGACCTCTCCCTCCGTTGCGCTGTAAGCCCAACTCTCGTCAAAGGCACGCCTCTCGAGGGAGCCGACCCACTACGAAAGAACCCTGTCTACTGTGTCCAGCCAGCGTGCATTCAGCCGCCATCCTGCATCCAACCTTGTGTGGGGCCTACGACATGCTTCTCGCCTCGCCTCTTCTCCAGTAAGTCGAAAAAGGAGAGGAAACAGAAAAACGATCTCGGAAACCAGGTCAGCCCCTTACCTGAATTGATTGCGGAGCCTACTGAGGCGAGGTCAATGTCGTTCGTCGGAACCCACGAGTATTTAGCTCCCGAGATCATCAAGGGGGAAGGCCATGGAAGTGCTGTCGACTGGTGGACTTATGGTATCTTTCTCTACGAGCTCCTTTTTGGTAAGACGCCATTCAAGGGGTCTGGAAACCGAGCTACATTGTTCAATGTAGTGGGTCAGCCTCTCCGGTTTCCTGAAGCCCCAGTAGTCAGCTTTGCAGCAAGGGACCTCATAAGGGGACTGCTGGTGAAGGAGCCACAGCACAGGTTGGCGTATAAGAGGGGTGCTACTGAGATAAAGCAGCATCCTTTCTTCGAAGGGGTGAACTGGGCATTGATACGATGTGCCACACCACCTGAGATACCCAGGCCGGTTGAGTTGGAACGGATTCCTGGGCCGGCACCATTGGCAGGATCTACGAGCGAAAAGGCAGCGATGGTAGCAGCAGCAGGAGCAGGTGGTGGTCAGAAGGGTGGTGGTGGTGATAACTATCTGGAGTTTGACTTCTTCTGAAAGGGTTCTAAGTACATGTATGGTTGATGATGATGATGTTGATTGTAAGGATGGAAAGATTGTATCTTTTTTTTTATGGGTAGGGGGAAGAATTTGTTGTTGTGATGAACATTTGTCAGCAATTGAGAGACAGTAATTGTTTTTTGTTTGTCTTGCTACCCCCTCACCTGTTCTCTCCTCTCTCTCATCCTTCCTTATGTTTTTGTTCCTGAATGACAGTTGATGGTAAGGAAAAATGTATGGCTGCTTTGATGCTGTAGCTGGTATCTGCAATCCTGAACGAATTCCAACTCCAAGTCTGTAACTTTGATAGTTTGGTTGGAGTTGTTGCCACGTATGGTGACTGCAAACTAACTAGATTGTCTGCTTGTGATGGCAGACTGGCAGTCGGTAGCCAATCAGTCCATTCCACAACGAACATTTGCGGTGAGCGTGGATCGAACATGCGACCTTCAGATCTTCAGTCTGACGCTATCCCCGCTTGATATTAAAAGTTATTGAGTTTAAGATACTTACCAATTACCATGTAGAAGACACTGTCACGTTCACCTTGCAACCAAACTGATATAATACGGGTATAGTGAAAATGAGTCAAATTGGTCACAAGCGGAACAATGTTCGATTGTAGAAACCTCATTTACTAGTTTAATCTACGCATTTGTTGAGCTCGTTAGTCAGCTTAAGCGGTAGGCCGTTGAGCTCATGACTTGGCTAGACTAACGGTTTATTGTCGAATCGGCCTATAGCTTATGTGTTGGGTTAATGATAGTTCATACATTCATTAATTTACATGTTTCATTATGTATGATGTTTAAGTCCTTAAGTACTGTCGTACAAGAGCTTAGTCTACTAGTAATATCCATAGTCTTCAACCCAGAGGTCCCAAGTTCAAATCTATTATGTAACACATAGCACTATAAGCACAAACCTAAATCACCCTTATTTAAAAAAAAAAAAAACATTGAGTATTGAACCAAATATGTCACTTGTATAATTTGAAGAGAAATTATTTGCTATAGATTTCTTAGGGTATGTAATACAAATATTAGGGTATGTAATTTATAAATTATTTTATATTTTAATTTAGGGGATCAATTATTTAGAGTCATAAATTAGATGAGTTCCAACCGAGACTGAAGTCGAGTAAAGTTTGTGAGCTCATAATGAGTCAAAATTAAGGTAAGGGGTTTAGTAAACAAATTAAGCTTGAACTCTAACTCATTTTATAACAAGCTACATCAATACAATATTTATTTGTGAGAGAATGTAGTTGAAGCATACAAGATTTCACTACAACAAATATAGCCTTTTGTGACCATTTTCATTTAACTTTTTTTTTTGGTCGGCGAAAATTAATTATTTATGACCAATTATATTTTGGTAATAAAATATTTGATGAATTGGTTACTAACTAGAAAAAGAGTTTTTATAACCAAATTAAAATTTATACGACCAAAAAAATTAGTAGCCGAATGTTCAATTCTTTTTCTAACCAAAACAATTTGTTTATCATCCTTAATACTATTTAAAGTAACTAGTATTTTTGGTCGCATAAACATATTAAAATGGTCACTTATAAGAAAAGAATTTTTATGACCAAAACAAACTTTACAGAACTAAAAATATTGGTCATAAAATAATAAAATATTTTTCCTGACCAAATATAATTGGTCATATTTTCTCCCACCGTACTGTTTCTTTTAATGGAACCCATCTCCTTCTTTTTGGTATAAAAGCCCATTCGCATTTTATTCACTGTGTTTGGGAAACCCATCGCGACATCACCTCAAACCATCTCTTTCTGTTCTCTCTTCGACGACTGAAGTACCGACATCGCCTGCAAGAGTTGTGAAATTCAAATCTGAGTTGAGTAACGCCATCGCATTCACTCCAGGAGGACATCGCCTGCAAGTTAGTAACGCAATCGTTCCAAAAACTTAATTTTCTCTTCGATTTGTACCGCAGTTGAAATTCAAATATGAGCGACGAATCGTATCTCCTCCTGCTTTTAAAACTCAATCAAATCCGAGCAAAGACTCTAATTCCTCTCTTTATGCTTCTGATTAGAGTTCAGATCTCTGTTTCCGGCAAGCGGCTTGAATCGCATCTACTTTTGGTTGATTATACTTCAGATTCGGTGATTACTTTGGTGTATCGTCTTCGTCTGTATGTTTCTACTTTTCCTGGATCGTTACGGCGAGTCATTATTGATATGGTCGTATTGGTATTTATGTATGTATCCTCTGTAATTGGGTGTCTGGTTGTTATAAACACTCGGCCTTTCTGGTGTTGTAAACACTCGGCGAGTCAAAATTGGAGGCCATGAGGTCAATTTCGGAGGTCTTGAATCTATTGATTAGTGAGTTATGGAGGGGCGATGTAACTGTGATGTTTGACCAAAAGATGTTAAAATTGAAGAGCGAGGGAGAGAGATTTAATGCCTGATAGAATCTATTGATTAGTGGTTTTGCAGTTAGGTTGGGCAGTTTGGTCATTAGTGTTGGGGGTTAGTTTTTTCATCAAGTCAGAATGCAAACTTTTGTGTAAAATAATCAGTTTGTTGTTTGTAGCAAGGTAGAAAGTACGAAGTTTTGTTGTTGCTTGTAGGCAGAAAGGGTGTGTAATTGCTGAAAGACAGGTTCATGGAGTGTATTCTCCCCAAATTGCTGAAAGACAGGTTCATGGAGTGTATTCCCCCCCCAAATTCTTGATGGAATGAAAGCTTTTCATTAGAGGAAAAATGTGTCCAATACTTTCTATGTTTTTATCCCTGGTAGATGTTCAATTAAAAATTGATTTATGTCTCCAGTTGTTCTAAACTATGAATGATGTGCATACTTGTTTTCTATGATCAGGAAGGATAGTATTCTGAACTCATGGTTGTGGTCAACTGAGGTTACCAATTTTGATAATTTTCTGTAACAGATTTCTGAATGGGACCAGGAGGGAAACGTACGGTTGAGTATCCCCGTCAAAGTCTAACACCCAGAGCTGGACAGAAACATGCATCTGAGTATGCTAATTCATATGCTAGGCAGTACAAGAGAAACAAGACAGGACATAATTCTAGGAAAGGTATGATTTGAAAGAGATTTTGTGACTGTAAGATTGAACTTGGTTTGTTTGCTTGTTTTATCTTCCAAATCGATAACAGAAGCTCTTTTAGAGAAGAATGGTACTAACAATTGTTTGCTAAGGTCGACCAGTTAATGGTGTCCAATCTGCCAAACTTTCAAGTGAGCTTGGTTTGATAAGTCGAGAATACATGGATGAGATCCCTATCCGCTGGACTAAGGATTTCAAGAAGAACCATCTGCGTTCAGCTTATGACAGACTAAATGTATGCTTAATTTATTTATAGTGATTGCATTTTATTATTAGGAGCTGGTATAGTTTGTTTATGATTGTTTTCTTTTACCATGAACACATTGTTGATTAATATATTACTGGTGATAGATGCATTTGCAAGTTGAAGATATCAGCGAAGAGGCTGTCCAAGATTATATCGATGGGTTATTGCAAATCCAAGTCAAGCAGCAACGTTCCAAGCTGAAAAAGATATTCCTTGAGTGCAGGGATGCAGTGGAAGCTAGAACAATGAAGCCTCCTGGAATAAGCCAAAAGAACTGGGACGATTTGATTGACTATTGGCTCTGTGACAAAGCTAAGGTATTGACATCGATGAATTCGAGTTTGTTTATTTTTCAAAATAGAATATGCAGAAAGTTGCCAGGCTTAAGTTGATGGTTGTGTTTGATTTAAGGGTTGTCAGGCTTAAAATGTAAATACATCAAGAGATTCATTAACAGCAAAAGGTTTGTTATGAGTAGAAGCCACAGGTGCATGAACTTTGACTCCTCTCCTGGGTATTCATGGCAACTAGAGAAATAATGAAAAAGTTGAGAGCTTTCCCCCAAATCATTAGCACTGGAGGGGTTTGATTTAGGGGTTGCCAGACATTTTTCAAGTAGATGGATAGAGAGGTTAAAAGTGGGGCAGTACTTGTTGGTGTTTTTGTTTTTTTCTGCATTCTTATTATGACAGCTTGAAAGTTGAGATCCTGTACATTGATTGATCTGTGTTCGCCCAGAAAATTTCATTACTAATTTTGTTACTTCTTTCATTTGAAGCGTGTTGCTGTTGCCAACACACAGAACCGACAGCGTGTAAAGGTCTCCCATCGCCAAGGGTGTAAAGCTTTTGTTGTCTTAAGAAATGAAATTGTAAGATATATTCTCTGTTGTATCAGTTTGCACAGCAGAATCATTAATGGGATTTTTGTTCTGCAATCCTAAGTAGCATATCCTTTTTTCTTGTATGGTTGCAGAAGGAAGCGAATAATGGAGAAGAATGTCCCATAGCACCTTCTGAAGTGGTCGATTCTGAAGAAGTACAAGACAATGTCGACATTGCACCTTCGACTCGCTCAATCCTTCGCCTGCGAGATCGCCGCCGCCGCTCATCCTTCGTCCGCGATATTGCCGGCGCCGCCGCTCACTCTCCTTCGTGCTCGGGATCGCCTTCGACTCTTCCAAGGCGCTGTGGAGGAGGAACCACAACGCGTCAAGACCGGCCGCGACGACGATGTTCAGAATTACAAGTCAATTTCTCATTTTTTAGTAGCTTCGTCGTTTTGAACTACATTGAAAGGAACTGTTCAATTTTCTCATTGCTCGTTTCTGGTGTGGTTTTCCTGGAGGTGACGGGAGGAACAAGGGGATTGGGTTCGAGATTTGTAGGCAGTTGGCTTCTAATGGCGTTCTGGTTGTTTTAACAGCTAGAGATGAAAGCAGGTTGATTTAACTGCACTTACAAAGTACTACTCAGAGGTTCTCCCTCCTAGCAATACTCCAGGTGTATGCATCCTGGACATGTGTAGCAGTTGGGTAAGAAACTCTTATCCCTATAACATTCCACACCCTGATTTATGTGCTCTGCACATTTTAACAGAATATTGGTCATAATTTTGTGTTTAGGTCAGCCATTACCCATAAGGATACAAGCAAGATCGTATAGTTGGGATGTGAATGAATGAAGAAGAGCTCAAGTGGAATCCTGTAAGATTCTACTCTTTCTTTTCAGTGTGTGTTTGGTTTCTTCTATTTACTACAAAGGATCCAAACACGTTAATTTTTGCTACCATGATGTTCAAAGCTGTGATGTATGTTTTCTATCCATCAAGAGTCTTTAGATGGATAGAAAACTGTGAATGGACTGATCTGTGAACTCCATTATCGGCAAGGTTAGTAGTTGTAGCATTCCATGGATCGCAGTTCATTCTCATTTCCGGATCAGCTGAGATTAAGCTCGGTTTAAATCGAGTTTGCTTTTGTTGACTGGTTTGTTTCCCCTGAGCCTACTCAATTAGTTGTTTCAGCCTTTGACTTATCAACAGGTAGCTGTTGTTAGGTTGTTGCTGTAGTTTCTTGAGATGCCACTTGGTAGTCAACAGTTGATGGTTAGGATCATCATACAGTTTTGATCTGTTGTTGAGAACCAAGAATCTTGTTTTATTCACTCAATTTGTACTGTGGTGCAGGTATTTCGAACAGGGGCAGAAGAATTTAAAGGAGTTGGGTGATCATGTCAACTGCAGCAGTTAGGAACCTCTCAAGCCGAAGTGATTTCTTTGGCAGATTGGAGTTTCTCATTTTTTCTATTTTTGTATTTTTTTAATGAATTAGTACTGCTATGAACTAATGTAAGTTGGTATTTGGTTGGAAATATAATGTGACCATTATGGGCTAAATTGGTTGCATTACGATTATGCTATCATAACCAAATTAGTAGCCTTTCTCAACTAATATATATAACCAAATTTGAAGTCATATTTAGAACATTTTATAACCAAAAAATGGTCACATTTATAACGTATGGTTACCATAAAACATGGTTGGAAATAATATTTATGACCAATGTAAATAGATTGGTTACATTATATACTTTTTACAACCAAAATTACTCTTCATATTTGGATTATATAGTGACCATTAAATATTGGTAAGGATAAGAGTTTCATAACCAAAAATTTTGGTTACTTAATGATAATTACATTAGCTATGAAGAATAGTTTTGTAACCAAAATTTTTTGTTTTAAATAATTGCTTTTGTGACTTAATCATTTGGTTGGTAAATGATATATGAATTGGTTGGTTTTCACGTTATTTGTGACCAATCAGATATTCATTTGTGACTATTTTAACAGATTTATTGTTACCAATTATCTTGGTTGCAAAAAAAAAACTTGTGACCAATTGGAACTTTCGTCACAAAACATACTGTATTGTGACCAAATCAAAAAATTGGTCAGAAATTGGTTTTCCTAACGCGGCAAATATGACCAAAGCTACTACCAAATAGTTTTGGTCACAACATAGTTTTCGCCACCAAAGTATGACATTTAGCGACCATTTTTACTCGTCACAAAAGGCAGATTCTGTTGTAGTGTTTCACATATTAATTAATCTGTGAACTAATAAGAGTTTGTTTCTAATAGATAAGATTGGATGTTTTGATAAAGTAGTCTCCGATTTCCCACTGATCGATCAAGATGTAAGTAGGTAAGTGTGATATGGACAGATATAGAGGAATCAATTTCCTTCCGCCAAAAACCCCCTCTCTCTTACTTTAATTTGAACCCTTTTCTCTGCCCTCTCTCTTCTTCTCGGTTCCACTTTCCTTCTTTTTCCAGGGGCTGCCGCCGGCTCCTTTTGGTGACCGGCGGCAGCTCAAACCCTCCATTCCTTTTTTTTTTTTTTTTTTTTTTTTTTTTTTTTTTTGCTCATGTTATTCCTGGCCTTGTTCTAGGTGTTTTTCCTTCGGATTTCCAGCTTTTCCCTGCCGTTGTGGCCTTCAGCTTCCTTTCCAGTCGAGCTTTGTCTCTTCTTTTCCCGTCGAGCTTTGTCTCTTCCTTCGGTTCTTGGTGCTCCAGTTCAAGGTTTGCTCGTTGTAGGATCCGGAGTTTGCAGTTTGGTGGGTGCCTATTCCAGATCTGGATGGTGGTGATTTTTCCAGATTGGTGGTCTCATCCTTTGATGAAACCATTCTCTTCTTTCCCTTTCCGACCTCCACTTTGTGTTCGTGTTGCGGGGTGAGTCGTCGGATCGTGGAGGGTCGGGTCTTCTCCGGTGGTTGTGGTTGGTAATCGGTGTTCTCCGTGGAGATTTGTGGCTCCTTTGTGATCTTCTGCTCTGCTTCAAACATGATTTCTCTGCCTCAGCTTCCTCTGCCTCTGTCAGCTTGGAGCAATCCGTTCAAATCCTTTTCCACCGCCATGCAATCTTGTTTCTAGGATTCACTGTGATGGATGCCGTTGAGTTATCCCCAGGAGGCGGCATATGGTTGATGTAATCACTAGCCATGGATTTCGAGTTGATCGGACAAGCTGATTTCGCTCTTGTTGCATTCTAAGTGGTTGGTTGCAAGAGAGATTTCTGATGTACTGGTTTTTTCAAAGGTTCGTTTCTGTTGGATGGTTGCTGTCAAACTGTGTTGTGCTCTCTGTTCTTGCTTTTGCTTTTCATGGTTTGATTGTAACCGAGTTCTCTTTTCCTTCTTCCTGTTGAACCAGAATGTTGGTTTGTTGTCTCTTTGTATCTGACCGGTTAAAATGCAATAAAGACTCTCTTTTGTCAAAAAAAAAAAGACAGATATAGAGGAGGATCTAAAACTAGAGAGAGAGATGGAGAAGAGTAGGTAGCCTAGGAGCTAGAATTAGATGGCCACCTTGGGCGAGCGAAAACACATGCAAGCAAAGGCGTCCCCGTCGTTGTGGTTGCTACTAGTAATTACTTGCAGCTCCTCCAATTCCATGGCCGCCGCCTTGATTATCTCACCAGTAGTACTGCTAGTGCTAGGCGGCGGCGGCGAAGGAGATGATGATGAGCCGGCAGCAGTACTACTGGGGCTGCTTCCCGAGGCGGCGGTGGTGTTGAGGAGGAGCTTCCCTTGGGAGATGACGCTGATCTCGCACCACTCGGGGGAGCTCTGGAGCACCTGGGCGGCGATGTTGCTGTTGCCGCCCTTTCTGTGCTTGAGCTTCTTGACGTTGGATCTGTTGGTTCCTAAGACCAGCTTCCTGATGTTGAGGATCGGGATCAACTCCACCATCGCCTTCGCCACCCAGTCGCTCTCTATCAGCACCGTCTCCACCTTCACCAATTGCATGTAGAAATATTATTATTATTATAGACCGCGCGCTACTTGGAAGTTGGAAGGAACCCACCCGGATGTACGTACAAAATGGCCGGCCGGGTGCTGATCATGTACGTGATGAGAATTGAGATACCTACCTTGACCTTGGAAGCAGTCGCAGAGGCAGAGGCAGAGGCAGAGGCAGAGGCAGAGCACTTGTTGATGAATCTCTGGAGGAGCTCTCTTCTCTTGTCTCGTTCCTCTGCCATGTACTTCTCCACTCGTTCTCCACTCACTTGCCTCTTTGGCAGCTTACCCACTGCTCATTAATTCATTCATTTTTTGTTTTTATAATTGAACCCAGCAATCTAATCAATCAGGACCACAATTCCATTTCCTTACAATTACATTCATCCAGACCAGACCAGACCAAACCAAGGAGTGAGTAAACTTGGGTTGGGCCCATACTTTAACACTGCTGGGCCAGGCCTAACCCACCCCTTGAAAAGGTCAAACGGTCACTTCAATACTTCATATTCATAGAAAATAATCGACAATTCCAATCAATTAGTAAACACCCATTAATGAGGGAGGATTTATTGATATAATCAAACTGAATTCTATTATTATATATGCGTTGAACTGAATTCTATTATTATAATAATAATAATAATAATAAGTCATTGTTGATTGATTATAGAATTCGATAATAATTTTTCTAATCCGTCATCGTCATCTCCACCAATTTAGCCAAAGAAAATACAAAGAGAGAGCCATAGGCCATAGCTAGCTGTTCACCAATCCAAAACCCACCATTTCACAGTCACTAGCTACCACCACCCGTTGGCGTTGCCATATGATATCATGATCGAGCTCACAAACTTATAAGACAGACACCTTTTCAAAAATCTCTTACTACTGGAACAAGTCAAAATTACTACTCCAAACTAATTTTATAGCCGAATGGGATAACTAGCTAGCTATCAGTATTATGCTTACGGATATACAATATAATAATAATTTAGCACGAAATTCTTAGACCATGGCTCATCATCTCATGTTAATCTTTCACTATATTCAGATAATGAGTTCATTTCTAAAATTGATTGTGCCTATAAATTACTTGAGTAATCTATTTCCAGCTACTTCTCAAGACAAGTCTAACTTAATCACCCAGATATATACTAATACAGGGAAGGGAAGGGAAGGGAAGGTAAGGACATTTCAGTACTTTTAGTTGGAGTAGACAATTATATCCCAATTTTATTTTATTATAATTATAATTTGTTGGAAGGAAGAGAAGAGAAGAGAAGAGAAGAGAAGAAAAGAAAAGAAAAGAAAAAATATATATAGTTTACTTACTTAACCCCCCGAAAAATCACTATTAAGCACTAGCTAATTAACCGATTGTACGATAAACCAAATTTGATGAACAAATTATATTATTGAGCAGAGGGAGAGGAAGATTGATTCATTTGAGAGATCGATTAATAAGCCGGATTTATAGTAACTTACGGGGAGAAGGAATGTGGTGGACTTGAGGGAACACGTGGATGAGGTAAACCACGGTGGCGGAGCTGGATTGGGCCGCCGCCCAAGCCACCGCTTCGAGGCTGGAATCGCCCTTCCCTACTCCCACGTACACGCACTCCTCCGCTCCCTCGCCGCTGCCGTTGACGTCTACGGAGAACATGCTCCCGGCGTCCGTCAGGCTGATCTCTTCCTTGATGCTCGCCCTTCCATGGTTGATCTCGAACAGCTCGCTCTCCTCTTCGATCTCCCACACGCTGCTGCTCTGCTGCCGATCCCTTCCCTCGCTGTCGCAGCGGCCGGGGGAGTCCGCCGTCGATGCATTATTCGCCATTAATTAGTCGATGGTGTGAAAGAGGGAAGAGAGAAAGGGATTTGAGACGAAGGGGGAAATGGGGGAATCTGGTCAGTTTGTTTAGTTGGGGAAAGGAGGAGGGAATGGGGGGAAAATGGAAAGAAAGCAACCCAAATTGGACTCTCTCTAAAATAATACTTGTTGCTTTCAGGCCTGATCGGGTCGACGATGATCCGGTCTGGTTTGATAGCTAATCCAACCCATATTCACCAAATCGCACATCAAACATAATAGAACTAATGTGTAAAATCCTCATCCGATTACGACAAACTGTTTTGGTTTGAGTTTTCGAATGTAATTTATTCAATTTGTGCTATTTGTTGACAAACTCCAAAAGCTGCAATTAGTATAAATCGTAATCTGGTATAGGATTATATCAAACTGAAGATGGAAGGAGAGAATGAAATCGATCATAAATCAGCTTTTCTATATTATGCAACATATGATACTAAGGGATAAACTAAAGATGTGAAATGAGTATAAGTGGTATAGGACTTCATCAAACTGAAGAAGAAAATGGGCAAGAATATCGTAATCAGATTAAATATGCTCATTCGATTAAGTCTAATTCAGTTTCTCTATATTCTTTTGATCTAAGCGCACGTTTAGCACAACTTTCGCAATGTGATCCAATCAATTAACTAATTAGAGGAGGGTCCCTAGAATCCGATTCAAAATGAGGATAACATGGGTACAAAGTATTGATCAAAAGCTAATTTATTCACATCAAAGTTCAGAAGATTCATTCAAGACTAGTTCAAATGATTATTCAGGAAAGAAAGTAAAACATATCATGATAAAGATAAATTAAGAAAACACGAACAATCAAATTAAAACGGAATCGTTTAAATATGAATATTGATCAATTAATCAATCGGTCTGGTTCGATCATATTCGGTTTGGTAAGGAAAAGAATGGTTGCCCATTCATACTTGTTGAGAAAGTCGTACAAAGTGTGGCATTAACAATGGTTGTGTTTGTGTCATTGGCTTTGACATAAAAGCCAATTGCTCTTTTTTTGTTTTTTGTTTGCTCCTTCTTTGATCCCTTTGAAATTTCAACATCGAGCCACCCCTTCGATTTGGCATATAGACAAAAAATTGTACATTAAATATTAGTGTATGAGTATATAAAGCATATATAAACCTTTTCATATTTAACTATGAGAATAATTCTAACGTTTTCTTAACGATTTTCTTTGTTTCTTAACACATATATGACAATTATTTTTGCAATTTTTAAAAGGAGTCACCATCACCAATTCACCATAAGTCCATAAGAGGGCAACAATTTGTGAGCTAAAACACGGGTGAATTGAAGGATAGATTACATAACAATGTTGTTTCCTATCTTTTCATGTGATCCTTCAAATGTGTGTATGTAAGAAATATATATGCATCGATTTATTATAAGAATGCTAAATTTAAAATATGGTGTTGGATGGTTCATGGTTTGATATAAATGCTATTAATTTTATAATATGATGACTTTGTGTATGGTGATTGGTGAGTAGAACATTCTACAAGTATCAATTAATTATAATAATACATGGTCAGAAAATTAACCATGAAAGGAATGATTAACTGGAATAAGTTGTGTTGAGCTCATATATATAAAAATATATATGCTATCTCGCCTATCATTTTCATGACGCACTCATCATTCTGATTTTTACCATATCGGCTAATGAGATTGACGAATCGAGGGTTACTAAAGGTGGAGAATACCATACGCAAGTAAGTTGTAACATACAAGCCACTGATAACATGACATTTAATATTAATATATATATATAAGGGTAAATATTATTTAATATCCAAACCTTTCATTTTAAATAATATAATAGCCAAATCTTTTCGAAAACAACCTAATATACAAATCGTCAACTTTCCGTTCGTTTGACCGTTTACTCAAATGTAAGGACTTGGTAAAGCCTTTCATATCTGTAGTAGGATCTGAGTTGCAGTGGGATGGTTTGGCTATGCCCTCTTACTCTGTTTCGAGGGTGTGGGAGTCATTGCGGCAGAAGGATGTGGAGGTCAGATGGTTTAAAATGGTTTGGGATAAACATGTCATCCCCAGGCATGGATTTATCCTATGGTTGGTGATTAATGACAGGTTAAAACTGCTGAATAAGCTGATTGCGTGGGGTAAACCGATCTCTGGACACTATTTGTTATGTCCTTGAGGAATGGAGAGTCGTGATCACTTGTTCATGGAATGTTCTTACTTTCAGTATTTGAGTTGTAAAGTGTTGAAAGAGGCATCACCTCCTGTGCTTGGAAGCTGGAATGCTGTGTTGGAGTGGTGTGTCATGAAGTGGCCGAGATATTCTCCAGAGCATTCTTTGAACAGGATGAGCTGGAGTGTTCTTATCAGTCTTGTTTGGCGGGAGAGATGTGCGAGGTTATATGGTTCTGTTGCGGCTAGAAGTCCTTCTCAGCTGCTAGTTGATGCAAAACGGAGTATTTGGAGTCGTTGTCTGTTAAACCAATGCTTAGTTGATTGTTTTGAAGCTAGGGGGCTTGGGGTAGATAGTTAGCAAACTAAGTTTGTTTTTGTCTTGGTGAGTGACTCTGTGAGGTATGATGTACAGAATTGCCAGTTTTTGAGGGCTCCATAGCACTTTGCTATAGGTGTCGGTTCTTAATGCGATTTGATTTAACCATAAAAAAAAATTATTTTAAAAAATGTGATATATGTCACTCTCTGTTTTCTTATTTATATTTTGTTACTTGACAAAATATTATTATTTATGTGTGTTTAGTTAAGTTTATCAACATGTAACTTATTATCAAAGCAAAAAAATAAGAATAAATGGATAAATGAAAAAAAAAATTAGATAAAAGAAACGGAAATTTTAAAGAAGTACGAGGTAACTCAATAAATACATTAATAATTATTTGGTGTTTATAAAAAAGTTGTCCAACTTGTCAAATTGTGGATCCTCCAAGTGCTTATGTAATAAGAGATTGCTTTTGAATTGTCATAATATATACTATGTATGGATATAGATAGATGATCATCTTCTTGCTCTGTAGAAGTGTTATACGTATAGGAAATCAAAAAGGAAGTAGTAACTAATTTATTAAATGGTATTAGATGTTTTTATCAATGTAGACGTGTATAATTAATGACGATGCAATTAATTTATTGAATTTATTAAAAAATGCTGGTTCTACAATTTCCTACATCCTTTGAGTTGAGTTTGAGGTCATGGGGATGTCGAGTCTTGATTCAATAAGTTAAGTGGGAGTCTAAGTCAAGGGGGTAAATCTGAGATTCATTGTCATTATAATAACCCAATCGTGCATGTTTGTAAGAAAACAAAAACAAAATTAAAGATGGTGCAAACAATTTATAAATTAATATAATTCTCCCATATATGTCTTTATTCTCGTCCGATTAATTCGTTATGTATCAGACATTGGAGTAAATTATTTGATCAATTAATATTCGATTCTTTCTTCAATTTGGAATCAATCCAAAATTCTTTTTTTCTCTAGTAATAGAAAATCGGAAAAAAGAAATAGATGAAAGCTTGTTGCATTGTGTGCTTAAATTATATTTTACTCGATTATTAGAAAGAAGATCGTTAGGAGCATTTGTTTTTGGTGATTACAAAATTCGATATTATATATGTTAAAATTATGTGAGATTGGCTACTCATTTTTGGTTCTTGTGGAACATTGAAAGAGAAGACAATTATTAAAATTCGGGAGTACTATAGTCTAAAACATTCCTTCTGATTCAACTATTAATCAAAAGTATCGAAATCTACCAAGAACTCAAAATAAAGAGTTAATTCATCCCCATATACCTATGAAAACAGGTTTTATATATATCCATCACTTCATCTCTTTGAATTTCCCACTTCATACTGTTTTTATCCATACATGCTCTGCAGTATTGATTTGATTATCCTTTAGAGAGTGAAGATAAATAATTAGGTCCCACATTAGCTTTAGCTTAGAGTCAGATCACCCTTTCCTCTTCCCGTACAAATGGTTGGGACTGGGAGATAAATGCTTAATTAGTTTTATCAATGGAAGGACGTCAATCGAATGAGAATTGGCCATGCAAAATCCCACATAAAGGCCCAAGGAAAAGGAAAAATCAGAAGGAAGTATAGTAGTACTGTAGTAGTAGTCTAGTCATGTACTCATGTGTCAAAACACATGAAAGGGAAAGGAGTAGATTCATTAGATTACCAAAGAAAAAGGGGGGATATAAGTTAGGCGGGAGGGCCAATCTGGTGGCTAATAAAATACACGTAATCAAGAATTTAGGCTGTTGAGTAAACATATAATTAATTTTTTGAAATTATTGAGAGATTCATTAGAGTTGTTGATATTATATGGCCGATTTAAGACACAATGTATTATAATTTGATCAAACAATCTCATACACAGAGAATTTTCGATTTCATTGTATAATTACATCATTTATTTAAGTACCAAGTTATTATCATCCATAAATTTCTTTTGGGATGGAAACCACCATTGTACACAACTTTTAGGAAAGAAATTACTAATTAGAGATTATTTTTAAGGGACTTGGTAAGACAATCAAAGATGGCTTAAAATTGCCAGGAGAGAAGCCAGAAATTCTCTAGGGCTATTAATTTTCAATAATAATAATTATTATTATGAGCTTGTTTTTCCATAAACCAGAAATTTATGTATCAAAATTCAAAATTAATGTAGTAGCTAATTAACTTTTCATAATAATAATAATAATAATAATAATAATAATAATAATAATAGTAGTAGCGATTCAGATAATAATTCACCGGATCTATCTATCATAAATTCCAATAGTACATACTCCATACTCAGAAAAGTAGATTTGGTTAAGCTCAAAATTCCAAAAGGGAGAAAAGGTTTCCTTCTTCTCGATCTCTTCGTGTACCACTACCAATCCGCCCACCGGCCCCTCTCCCTCCCTCCCTCCCTCTGGTATTTCTGGGTTCGTAGCACCACACGAATCTACTACTACTTTACTCCGGATTTCCAATTCGACTCTCTTCTTCACCTGATTTCGGATCCTTTTCCTTCCACTACAAATCGCAGCCTTCCTTCCTTCGCTGCGCTACTTCCCGGAGAAGAGAGATATACATGTATGTACCACTTACTTTCCCGCTCTTCTCCAACTGACTAGTGCGAGCTTCCGTCATTACCTTTTCTTCTTCCTTTCCATCCCCTTCGTTACTTTCAGCTCTCGTCTTCTTCTTCTTCTTCCAGCCTAAGGAAGTGATCCTATATTCCCAAATTTCAGCTGGTCGAGCTTGATTTCAGCGCGGAACAGAGAGGGAGAGGGAAAATGGGGATGGGTTCTCAAGATGCAATTGATCAGCTGAGAGCTTTGATGGATCAAGGTTCTTCCTCTAATCCTACCCTCCTCGTACCAGAAGAATTTACTTCATTTTTCTTGTTGCTTAAATTATTCAACAATTTGTCCTTTTATAAGAAAATTGACTGTTTTTTTCCCATTTCTGAAATTTTGGTCCAAATGTGACGGCAGTTGATGAGCCATTGAAGCGGACTTACCAGGTAACTAAATATGGTCTCACCTAACTTTCTCCTTCCTTCTGAAATTTCCCAACTTTCTGATCTGCTACTTCAATTTTGCTGGCATTAGTGAATTGGTTGAGTTTTATTCCGAAGATTTGGAATCCTAGCATTGAATGTTGAGTTTAACTTTTTAGAGATTATGTTTCGATGCTCGTGGTGAAGCAGTTCCAAACATTTTGCTTGATGGGAAGCTCTGATCTCGAGGGAGAGCTTTTCTTAAGTTTAGTCCAGCTAGAGCTTTGATTTGGGAATGGAGAATGGATGATGTATCTGTGATTCGCTACTAGTTCATTTCTTAAGTCGATTTATGGAGTTGGGTGTGTAAAATGGCTGATTTAACTACCAGTTGAATGTTGTACGGTTCTGGAAAAGTTTTGTGATTGTTGGAGAGGAAAGAATTTGGTGGTATGTCTTTCACTATGATTGGATGATTGTACCGGTTTGATTACATAGAGTGACAACTGCATGGCTATGATGTTTGGGACTGGAAAAAAACCCGGTGGTAATGCTATGAAGTGATTCTAAATACGAGCATAGTATTACTTAAGCTGGAACAACAATGGAATGCTATATGTCAACACGAGCCGTTAACTTACCCTATGAGGAAATGTTTGGCTGCAGTGGAGATGATTGATTTATCCTTTTGTTTGCTTCTTTTGGCTTGAGATGGACCTCAAAATACAGGGGAGTTCGCCATCTTTGATGTCTAATTTTGGTCCTTTATGACAGAATGTCCATCAAGGATATGAAGTGGAAACTCTGCCGCGGTTCCTAAGAGCTCGAGAGTGGAATGTTGCCAAAGCTCATAAAATGGTGAATAGCTTGTGACCCTGCCTGAAAGTTTGATTATTTTTTAGACATAATGAAAATTCATCTACACTCGGGATCTCCTGACCTGGTGTTGCTTGTCATTTTGTTCCACAGCTAGTTGACTGCCTGAACTGGAGAGTTCAGAATGAGATTGACAACATATTAGCGGTAATGTTCTTTCCTTCTTTCCCAAGGAAATTTGTGTCAGTGTTTCCCATCCCCATGCATCAGTGAAGTTTAACATGGTGAAGAACAGTGTTTGGCCTGATCTACTTTATGGCTTGGATATTGCGAGGATGCCAGTCTTCAGGATAGTGAATTCTTTTGGTGGCTGAGTTGGGTGTTATAACTTTCTGCAGAAACCCATTGTTCCAGCAGATCACTACAGAGGAGTGCGTGATTCACAGCTGATAGGGATGTCTGGTTACTCGAGAGAGGTGGTTATTCTCTCTCTAATGTTGCTGTTTTATGATTGTTATGCCAAGTGAATGTTCATAATCTATATCTTGCTTAAGTTCTGTATTGGATCCACTTAACATCCTAAATCTCTCGTTCTTCTGCAGGGACTACCTGTATTTGCTATTGGTGTGGGGCTCAGTACATTTGACAAAGCATCTGTAAGTTCGAAATATGCTTGTGAGAAACTATTCTTCGAAATATCCATATGCACACGTAGTTCTGCGAAACTTGGATGCACAATGAGATAATTATGTACTAAACATCTGATCCTTCCAATGCAGGTTCACTACTATGTTCAGTCGCACATTCAGATGAATGAGTATCGGGATCGTGTAATCTTGGTTAGTGCACAACCTTTGTTATACAATCATTACCTGATACACAGTTTTCTTGGCTGTTCAAAGAATTATCTTTAATGTCTTCGTATTTTACAATAGCCCTCTGCATCGAAGAAGTATGGTCGACCGATAACCACTTGTATAAAGGTCTTGGATATGACAGGCTTGAAACTTTCAGCACTAAACCAAATAAAGGTAAATTTTTTTTGCTGAAACGGAAGATCTATCTGCCATTTCCTGCAGCTTTCATTGACCATGTCGAGGTGGTTTTACTCTATTCCCTATAGCTGTCATTAACCATAGTAACTGGTTTTACTGCAGTTAATGACTGTCATTTCAACAGTGGATGACTTGAACTACCCTGAGAAAACGAACACCTATTACATCGTAAATGCCCCTTACATATTTTCAGCTTGTTGGAAGGTACGCAAGCCATTTATGCCAGGTGACAGAGAAAAGAGAAGCACATGATGTCTTTTCCCGTAACCACTGACTGTCGAGCCTCTTTCCCAGGTTGTGAAGCCTTTGCTGCAAGAAAGAACGAGGAAAAAAGTGCAGGTATTGAGCGGTAATGGGCGAGATGAACTCCTAAAGGTAAACAAGCTGGATTATCTCTGCCTCGCTTGCTCCTGCTTAATGGGTTCTCAACGCACTAATCTTGGAAGGGTGATCAATCAACCTGCAGATAATGGACATCTCGTCCCTCCCACATTTCTGCAAAAGGGAAGGGTCAGGATCATCTAAGAACAGCTCGGAGAAAAGCTCTGAGAGCTGCTATTCGTTGGACCATCCGTTCCATCAACAGCTCTACAACTACACCAAAGAGCAAGCGGCAAAGAGTGCACCAACAGGACCAATCAAGCAAGGATCTTTCCATGTCCGTGTTCCTGAGCCAGAGGCGGAAGTCAAAACCATAGAATCTGAGCTCCAGAAGTTTGAGAAGGGCATTCCCAGAGGACTCTCCGGGTGTCTGGATGCCCTCAAAATCAACGACTCGGATTAGACATGGAACGGTACATCTAGGAAGAATGCTTATAGAAATGGATGTATAATTTCCCACGCTGGCAGTTTTTCAAATTACCATAAGTAGTTACTGCCATCTGATATAGTAGTAATGCTTCAGACAGAGCATTTGCAAGGCTTTAGAATCAACAGCATTAAGCACGCAGTAAGCACCTTTCTTATGATGCTTTTTTCACCATTGTAATGAAGTACATATGAGGTTTTCCAGCCTTGGGCAGGCAACTTGGGCCAAGCTGAAATGGATTTCTAGTCCTTGTACTATGTTAGCTTAACAAATACGTCTATATATTATAATAATAATAATAATAATGTCATTTCTGGAACTAGTGGCAACTGGCAAGTGAGAGGCAAGAAGGCGGACTGATAGAGTAAGAGATGACGGATCTGGAAGTTGATGTTTAGGAGTTTTGTTTCAATTTCACCCCCACAGAAACCCGCTTCCTCGCCGCCGAAGCGCTTGCAGCGATTTCTTCTGGGCTTACGGCAATAGCGCAGCGTTGTCGAGTCTCCCAAGTTCACCCAATCGCAATTGCGATTTGCGTGCAGGAATCTTGGCGCAGTTCATGAAAAGAATCATTGCTGTGTTGTTTCCCCGTATTTTTTATGCGATCGTTCTGTGTAATTCTGGGTTTTCCCTGGAACTCAGAGCGGCAGGCAAGTTCAGCACCGGGTCAATATATCGCAAAAAAGTCAATAAAACGCCAAAATACCACGATATATTGTCGTATCGCGAGATCTCGGCAATTTCAATTTATCGTCAATTTATCGCGTTTCGAATTTGGTTTTGAGGACACGAAACGTTTCGCGTTTCGACCGTTTCTGACGCCCGTTTCTCCATTCTCGGGAGTTCCCAGTTTTCTCCGGACGTAGCCCAACCTCGCTTCCGAAACGCTGCCGCATTCCCGGTTCTTTGGGCCTTGATTAAATGGAACATAAGCTTGTTTGGGCCTTTATTACACGGAGGCCCAGTTTAGCCCGACCTTACTCTCACCTCCCTTCCAAAACGCTGCCGGTTATTATTCCCTTGGGCCTTCAAAAAAATAAAGAAGAAGCTTTCCAGCCGTTTCGTGTTTCGATCTGATACCCGTTTCTTCATTTTGCACGGATTTCTGGTTTTCACTGATCGTAGGCCTTCCTCCTTCCAGAAACGCCACCGGATATCCAGTAATTTGTCTCGACGTCGGCAGCGGACGAAGAAGAGAAACTGACAGACAGCTAAGACGCTAGTAAAAAAGGTATGTAAAAAAACGGAAATTGTTTTTATTAAAGAATTTTGCTTTGCTGGTTGCGAAACCGAGTTGCAGCTCGCTCTGGAACAAACTACACGCCTCCTCCTTCCTTCCTCTCCATTGCTTCGCCTTCGTTCTCTCCCCTTTTGCTGTTCCCTTTCAGTTTCCCCATTCATTCCCATCTGGTCATCTTCCCCTCCATTAAATTCTCCTTCCCTCCTCGCTTCTGTAGATTTTCTCGGGAAAATCCGCTCTCTGGTTGGTTCCCTCCAATTTCCCAAAGGCCGCCTTCTCTTCTCCCTCAGCTCGGGAATTCCCTCCTTCGTTACTTCCCTCCCCAATACCTGCCCGATTCATTTTACTCACACCTCGCTCCCTCTCTCTAGTTTCGATTCTCCCTCTCCTTCGTTTGAAGGATCTCTACTAGCTTTGTAAAGCTCACAAGAGGAGGAAGAAGAGATCCCAGAGTCTCAAGAAGATGTCGTACGCTTATCTCTTCAAGTACATCATCATCGGCGACACCGGTACCTAGCCCAAAGGCCTCCCTTTTTTCTTTCTCCCGATTTGTTTTCAATTCTTTCTGCTTCGGCGGTGGACTCATGATCGACTTGCGGTGGGTTTTTCCTTTTTGAGCGTTGAATTGATTCAATTTTCTTTTTCTTTGTTTCTGTATATAGGAGTTGGGAAATCGTGTCTTCTTCTCCAGTTCACGGACAAGAGGTTCCAGCCGGTTCACGACCTCACCATTGGCGTCGAGTTCGGGGCGAGGATGATCACTATTGACAACAAGCCCATCAAACTCCAGATTTGGGACACGGTTCGTTTCTTCTTCGCTTGCTCTATGTGTGTGTGGTGTTTGATTCACTGTGAACTTGGATCCAACTTCTTGTTGAGCCTCTAGTGGTGACCACCATTGGGGAGTCTCTGTTCAGTATATTCTTAAAGTTTTCAATGGCATGCTTCAGTTGGATGTAACCCTGTCTCAAAGCTTACTGTGGTTGATCGAATCCCGCTTTTACCATTGCAGATTGCAAGTCAAACATGAGTCGTTTTAGGTCAAAATAAGATTCCATACGTGTATAATTGTTGGGTTAGTTACTTAATCATGGTTTACCCATGATCTGGCGACTTGCAATCCCTCTATTTCTCACTAGAAGACTGAACAATCTCAAAATGAAAACTGCACATAGTTTATTGCTGAATCGAATGTGTAGCATCATGTTAGCTTTGTTATTTTTCATATGTGGCATGATATCATAAATTTTCCCAACTTCTTTGCTGCTGATGTCTCTTCATCACATGAGACAGGCTGGTCAGGAATCCTTCAGATCGATCACTAGGTCTTATTACCGAGGAGCTGCTGGTGCTTTGCTTGTCTATGATATTACCAGGTAATATCAATATGAACCTTTGATAATCGTTATACACAATGATGCTGCTGCTGTTACTTTTGAGATATATATATAAAAAAAAACAGAGTTAATACCTCTTCAATGTTCTGGATGTTAACATAGACTAGGCCTCTTCGGGAAGTTTGTGTTTCCTCGTTTCTTTATGAACCCCCATCAGGAAGTTATTCCAGTATATGTTGTCTGGTTGTATGGGATTTCCAAGTCAGTTGCAACTTTACAGGAGGGAAACTTTTAATCATCTGGCGAGCTGGTTAGAGGATGCCAGGCAGCATGCAAATGCCAACATGACAATTATGCTCATCGGGAACAAGTGTGATCTTGCTCACAGAAGGGCCGTTAGCACCGAAGAGGGGGAGCAATTTGCTAAGGAGCATGGTCTCATATTCATGGAGGCCTCTGCTAAAACAGCTCAGAACGTTGAGGAGGTGGAGAAACAGCATTCTTTTTCTCTTCTTTTTTAGGAAGCATTAACATCTCGTTGAAATTGTTCAAATGTCTAATGGCGAGACATCTATGCGTAGGCTTTTATAAAGACAGCTGCCACCATATACAAGAAGATTCAAGATGGGGTGTTTGATGTGTCAAATGAGGTTAGTCTCTGCCAAGTTACTCAAATCTTGTTTGATTCTGCTTGGAAGGTGATCAGATCATATTCCTATCAGATGCAGCGTGAAATCGCTACACATTATTTGAACTGCTTTGCTTGCAGTCTTATGGCATAAAAGTTGGATATGGTGGAATTCCTGGACCATCAGGGGGACGAGATGGCTCGACTTCACAAACTGGCGGCTGTTGCAGTTAGAAAAATTGGACCCCTCTCCATCATCTTTGGGGAAAATTTGTCAAGAAAGTCACTTCCTCTGTAGTGGTGAAACTGCTTCAAACATTGTGTGAAGATTTGGAATATAACATACGTATGTACAACCCCTACCCTTCCTTTTCCTTGCTGGTTGACTGTAAATTCGTGTTGGAACTTGGAATCGTTTAGTTTATGCCTTTCTTGTGTCAGCTCTATATGTGGGGCTTGTAAGAATTCTTTTGTGAATTGTTGTGGGAGTGGTTATAGGAATTGAGATGGAATTTCCAAATGAATTTTATAAGTATTTTTATTAATTATAATAGAATGATATGATTATCTTTAGGGTTAATACAATATATTAGTCACAACTATTATGAAGCGGGGAATTATAGCCACAACTATGAAAATTCAAATTATTAGCCATAACTAATGTTGCAGGTCAAGAATTTTATTTCAATAACCTCGGTCCTCTTTTCACAATATAAATATTTATTTGTTTTTTAATAAGTGCATAATAAATATAATTAAAACTAATTATATCCAAATAATTCATTCATAGATAAAAAAATAATTGATTAATACAATCATTGTTTTCATAAACAACCACGACAGGATTTACATATTGTGAGAAAAACGCAAAAATATTCATCTTCTACACTCTTAAGTAAGTCTATTTCAATGTATTCTATTAAAGTATCATTAGCAAATTGGTAGTCAATCGACTTCAAAACTTGCTATTAATATAACTCAAAGATGAAAAATGCTTCTTCTACCCTTGCAACTACAATTGGTAGAATCAAAACTAGTTGAATTTTCGTTGTTGCTGGACGATTTCAGGGTTATTGCCTTTTGGGGACAAAGTCGAATAAACATAAGGAGAAAAGACATCCAATTAGGTCTTTATTGCAATTGGAATTTCGTTTATAGTATAATAAATTAGCTATATATCAATTTGTGAACAAGTAATGACTTGTGTTGTAGTGACAAATTACTCTCATACCACTAATATACGTGTTGTGTTTCATTATCAATAAATATAAATATATATGACATAATTTTTTCTCCGAAATTTACCCTGTCCCATAACAAGGGCTAATACCCCTGCCTCCGCCTATGATTCGGCCCTGCTTCAATTTTTTTATACCGAAAAACACTTATAAAAGTCGGACCAAACTTAGGTCACACAATTCGTGTGAATGGGGGTGGACGCTCTCGCTTTAGAGCACAAAAACACGAATTAGAATGTATTCGCAAAAAATTCGCGATTTATTGCCTACTGGAGCGCGATTTTCGCTAGGGAGTTTGCGAATCAATTTCAAAGGAACAAAGCGGAAGAGACGAAGAGTAACTGTAGTCGGTGATGACTGTCGATCTGTCATCTGTAAAGGAGATAGAATTGCCTGCCGGATTGATGGAGGAAGCCAGAAAGACTGAAAGATGTCGGATATGTATTTGAAAGAGATTTTGTTGATCAGGGAGATCTGGAACTGCAGGGGAGACTTTTGGTCGGCAGCCGATGAGGTATCGCAGTTCAATTCACACACAAGCTGAGTGGGAATCACCATCAGATCTTGTTTGAACTTTGAAGGGATTGGAAGGTTGTATGAAGAAGGGGAATTTGTCGATGAGAAGAAGGGATTGAGAGAGGAGGATGTTGTTGGCATGAGGAAGAAGAAAGCAGGGACCGAGTCGGGCACTCGGCAACTGCTCGTTTAGGGCTTTGAGTTTTAACTGCAGTCAATTTTGGGCTCATTAGTTGGGCTATTCAAAGTTTCTATCACCGCAAGTATATTGGGCTATTCAAGCTCTATTGTGGGTTGTATTTGTGTTGTACCTGTACTGTTGTTGTGTATATTAAGTAGGAAAATTTAGATTTTTTGTTCTTAATTTTTATTTGGCTTCACCTTTTAGTTTTAGGTAATTAAAGATATTGAAGTAGAAGTAGGGGTCGTTTGGAAGTTGCGATTGTTAAATAGATGTATTGTTGAGAATGCATGTATTATATTATACATGTATTGTCGAATTTGATGCATTGTAGAATACAACGTTTGGTATGTGTAATTGTGTATGTCGCATTAGCTAAAAGCTGAGACAAAACAATCTCAACTCAACTATCTCAACAATCACAACTAAAAGTTGAGATATAACAATCACTCAAAATGAGTGATAGTTTCTGTCACATCACAGAAACAATCCATGTATTGTTTCTGCTAAAAAAACAAAAAAACGATGCATTGTAAACAATACATGCATAATGACAATCTCAACAAAACTATCGCAACTTCCAAACGACCCCGTAGTCTCATTTTCTTTTGAAGTGGGAGTGTTAGTCTCAAAATATAGTATTATTTTGGTTTAATATATTTATATATCCAAAACTTTCATGGATGTATCAATAATATATAAATTTCCCGAAATACCACTTATATCCATGTTTTAAAGTTTTTCTTTGCCAAATCTATCCATTTCCCAATATATTTTTGGTTAAATACACTTGTATATCCAAAAACACCGTTAAAGAAAGTCAAGGAATTGGATATAAGTGGTATTTCGGAAAATTTAGATATTATTGACACAACCGTGAAAGTTTTGAATACACAAGTGTATTTAACCTATTATTTTAAATAATATTTTAATTAAAATAATATAATATTAACACTTTTTTTTTTTTGCATAGATAGATTAATAAAATAGTCAGAGAACTGTACACAACCAAACGCGCCAGTCGACAAGTAGTCGAACTGCCGATGAAAGGGTCTTTTGTGCCACTAAATGGACAGCCCTGTTGTACCTGCGAGGAGTAAAAGTACAAGAAAACACCGAAAAGGAAGACACCGCCACCCGAATCTCCTCCATAATTGCACCACCCCGTCCGTGTGCAACATCTCTCTCCCGTACGGCCCGGATCAACATTTGGCAGTCCCCGCAAAAATTCACCACAGGAAAACCATGCATTAGACACCAGCTTATTGTGTCACGTAATGCCAACAGTTCCATGATAAAAGGGTCATCAATACCTGTGTAATGTTTCCCTAGAGCAAACATTAGGCTTCCATTAGCTGAGAAACCAGCAAAGCCCGATTCCGCCCCCTGATCCTTGTCGCCAAGCCCCATCAAAACGCACTAGAACTCCCCCATCAGGACACAAACCATCACGTCCAGATCGCGAGGCCGGTACTTGTCGCCCTTGACCCCGCGGGCCCTGGTGCAGCGTAAGCGGAGATGTCGCAGCCCGTCATTCCTCCACTTGTGCTTGGAATTGACGCAGTAATGTTGGTCCTCTATATTGAATAAATTTGTGTATCGCCCAAAACCTCGATTTCCAAACTCGCCAGCATAAGAAAACAACATTAGCAACATCAGTCTTAGAAAGACGGCATTCAAAGAAAAGAGTCTTCCAACAATCCGCATGGGAAAGAGAAGATAACCTGGCACGAAGGAGGCCAAAGCCAGCAAGTTCCCATAGCTCCACTGCTACACGACAATGAAGGAACGAATGAAGGATGCTTTCAATCCCATTAGAGCAAATTGGACAAACATTATCATCAACCAGCCGCTTGTAGTGAAGCACCGCACGAACTGGTAGAAATCCCCGTGCCACCCTCCAGCAGAAGACCCTCAATTTCGGCGGCACCGGCAGCTGCCACAGGAACTTCCAGAATCGTTTATCATATGGTAAGTCGCGAGGCGGATGGGTCCTGTTCAGCTCCGAGGATAGGAGTTGGTACCCCGTCTTAACCGTGTATTCCCCTGAAACAGAATAATGCCACACCAATTTATCCGGAATAAGCTGGTTGGGCAAAGGAATAGATAAGATCAGCTCTACTGACTCCCCTGTGAATAGATCCTGCAAGACAACCACTTTCCAAGAGTGGGATTGGGGGCAAATTAATTCTGAAACAAAAGTGTATGACATGGAAGCATTAGGAAGCAGAGAAGGTGATGAAGGAGGGGAAGAGGGCAGCCACTTATCTGTGAGGATGCGCACGACAGCACCATTACCAATGCGCCATCGGAGACCACGAGCCAATAAATCTCGCCCCTCAAGTATGCCTTGCCACGCCCAAGAAGCACGAGAGCCGACTTCAGATGTGAGTATGGATGTAGAAGGATGATACCGGGCCTTGTATAGGACTGCAATTGGAGAGTCTGGCATTTGGAGTAATCGCCATGCCTGTTTTGCCAAAAGTGCAATGTTAAAGCGATCAAAATCCCGAAAACCTAACCCACCTTCAAACTTACTGTGACACACTTCGGGCCAAGATAGCCAATGTATGCCCTTCTCTTTGTCTTGATTAGCCCACCAAAATCGTGATAATTGGCTGTTCATTCTTCGACAGGATGTGGCTGGAATGCGGAAGGCAGACATGGCATAGATTGTGGAGGCAGATCTGACGGATTTGATCACAGTTTCCTTTGCTGCCAATGACATCGATTTCGACTTCCAAGATCGAATTCTGGCCGCCAATCCGTCTTCCAAGAATCGAAAAGTCCTGGTCTTGGACCGTTGTACCTGAACAGGTAAGCCTAAGTACTTGTCCTGCAAACCCACTTCCTTCACTCCAAGATAATTGGCCAAACTCTCCTTCTCGTGGTCCTCAACATTTGCACTTGTACAGATGGTGGACTTCTGCAGGTTCACTTGCTGCCCACTTGTGAGACCATACTCCTCAAACACATGTCGAAGATGGGCACATTCGGGAACAGACGCACGAATAAACAGGTAAGTGTCATCAGCAAACATAAGGTGAGAAGTAATGGGGGCCCGTCGGTGAATTCGTAGTCCATGCAGGTTGTTAGAATAAATCTCTTGATTAATTTTTGCCGTGAAAGCCTCTGTATATAAAGCAAATAGCAGAGGGGAGAGAGGGTCACCTTGTCGGATGCCACGTTCCGGTTTGAAATACCCATACGTTCCACCGTTGATGTTTACTGAGAAGCTGACTGTGGAAATACATGTTCGGATCCACTTGATCCAAGTTGAGCAGAATCCCAATTCCTGCAAAATAGAAAGGAGAAAGGACCATTCGACCCGGTCGTATGCCTTCTCCATATCAAGTTTCAGTGCCATCCACTTATCCCCCCCTGCACTTTGGTTTTTAAAAAGTGCATGACCTCTTGACCAATCAAAATATTGTCAGTAATACAACGACCACGCACGAAACCATTTTGATTCAGACTTACTATATCAGGCATGACACGACTAAGCCGACAAGCAAGTATTTTCGCGATAATCTTGTAAAAGACCTGACATAAACTGATCGGCCGTAATTGCCTCATCGTGTATGCATTGGGAACTTTGGGGAGAAGGGTGATGCACGTGTGATTGAAGCTATGCAGGAGCCGACCTGACGCA